TTCAAAGCTCGTGAAGCGCCACCCGTCTAACTTGTTGTTGGATACGGGTATCAGCTGGGCTCAATTCATCGAGTTTAGGGACATTAAGCTCAAACGGAGGTCATTCGCCGCCCAAACCATTGGTGAAGTGCCGCTCCGCGCAGGGGACCTGGATGGCATCCCTGAGGATACGCAGGACGTTAGCCGGCTTTTCACATCGACAGAGCAAGAGCCGCCAGGAGGGGGCTCCCCTCCCTGGGGTGCTCAGGCTGCCGACTTACAGGAGCCTCATCAGCTGCACTCCTTGTACTCCTATGTCACTCCGTTTCAGGGTGTATATCTCCCTCGCTTCCTAGTGTCTCCGCCCACTGATCCTGCCAGGGTTTTGCTCGAGTTTGAGACTGGGAAGCACTATCCGGAGCCAGGGCCCATGGTGTCGGAGCTCCCAGTGGGCTTGCGGCATGATTTATGGGCCGGCTTCGAAGCGCAGGATGTGAACGAGGGCCGGCACGAATCGGCAATGGATTGCGGGGAGCTCAGCTGGCGACTTTGGGTGTCATACTCAAGGTACGTTGCTTCACGAGGTGCGGGTGTAAGACCTGATGATCGGGCATCCAGTTGGCGGGAGTTCGCCTCAACCGTGCAAACCAGGCACCACAGCGCGCGCAGTCAGGCGTCGCTTCCTTGGAATGGGTATGACCTGGCTAGCCACGGAGTGCCGGTTTTGCTCGTTTCCGAGGTTGACACGCTTGCTTGTCTCGTGCGGGCTGGCGGAGCTCCGCCTGAGATCAGGTTCGCTGACTCATCAAGGGCATGGACGCTGGCTGCCTTCCTCAACGGGGCCCATTGGACCCTGATATTGGTCGATGTGGAGATCCAATTGGTCAAGTTGAGCGCCATTTCGCGCACCGAGGAGCGTCACAGATTGCTCCTTCGAGTTGGACACGGTGGTGTGTTCAGCGGGGCGAGGTACCTGGGTGGCACCGGGCCCCCCGCCCTCATTGACGCACCCGGCTTCCGGACCAGCCAACAGAGCGGGGGCCCAGGGGAATGTGGTCCGCGCGTGGCGAAGCTCTACAGAAAACACACGTCAGCTCCGCTCGACTTGACTACCCGAGAGGCCAAGGTACTTAGTGCCATCGACTCGAACCCACAGTTGTGCAGGTCGGGAGCCGCGCTCTTGAGTCATGGAGTGCCTGTGATCATCAACAACACTGCACCGCCTGGCATTTATGGGGGCTCGCTCGGGCAGCACCGTGCTATTTGCGTTGTGTTATCCTCCACGTACGAATGGATGAAGCGCGCCCGCTCTCCATTTCTGGTCGCTTCCAGGATCTTGCCCGAGGACCAGGAAGCTGCGGCTACTCCTGAGGCGGCTCAACCCCATTGGAAGCTGGACATAGCCCCGGACGTTCCAGTCCTGGTGCTTGACGACTTCGCCGAAGACAGTCTGGAAGGGGTCGATTGGCTTGTCATGGAGTTGAAGAACGAGGCCTTTGCGCCCAGACTACCTGTGGTTGGGGCTGGACTCAGCGTTCTGCTGGGAATGGGGTTGGCCGTCACGGGGCAGGGTGTGCTGTTGCCGATTGACGGGCTCCGGTTCCAGCCAGGGGCTGGTGTTGAGCTGGTGTCCCCTAGTTCCAATTGCTCACAGTTTGACAGTATGTCTTTTACCAGCTGGTTGGATTTGGGGGACCCAAACACACCCATTGGGACTCAACATGTTGACAAGCTCAAAAGCGTACTCGGGCTGAACCCTGAGATGGACACTTTTCTCTGGGGCGACCATCATTGTGTTCTGGAAGCAGCTGACACCGATGTTGATGGAGTCGTCTCGGTTGGTGAGTTTGGCGCTTATTATGGCTGCGGCCATAATTACGGCGGCACTGAACCGCTCGCCCGGGGACTAGATGCAGCCGGCGTCGAGGTACCCCCTGCCTCATTTTTCTGTTGGCCGATGGGCATGGATCAGAATCATGATGGTGCCATCACGGTCGATGAGAGGAGGTGGATGCGCAGACTCAGGACCGCCACCCGGACCACAACCTTTACGCTCCCAACTACCAGCCGTGTGACCCACACCCCGAGCACCACGGTTGGTGTGACTACTTGGAGGACCCGTGCCACCACCACGACGACATTGAGCTCCGAGAGTGAGTCGACAACGAGGAGGTTGCGGACAACTTTAAGTCGGACTACATCATCGGTCAGGACGTCTACGAGTCGATTGCGCGGGGCCACCACAAGTCCAACCCCGGTGCCTGAGTTCTACGAGGACGATGGTGATTTGGGCGAGGGAGGGGCCCAGGCTACAGTTGATGTCCGCAACAGTCCATTCACCTATGTGCCAAAGAAGAGTTCTATTGGTAAGGTGGAGCTCGACTTTAAGATGGTTTTTAGGGGGGAGCTCAAGGCATGGACTCCGATCACACATGATACCGGCGCCGACACTTACACGCTCTTTGGACCGCAGGGCCAGGAATGCCAGGTCATCTGGAACCATGATAAGGGGGGATGGGAGCCCGTTCAATGTGGAACTGCAGTGAGCAAGGCTTTGGAAGCAATCGACATTGAGAACGTCCCTCAAGGTTGGGCTGCCTATGAGAGGAAAGACGTTGACAGATCACGCTGTTTTTCCCTCTTCTTCACTGGTCCTGAGGCTTTGTGGAAATCTGACTGCTATGTCGACATCAATGGCCAGCCAAGCTCTTGGTATGATGCCTTGTTCAAGCACCAACGCAAACAGACTGGCAACGATATTGCCATCAGCATGGGTGGGGAATGTGAGAGCTCAACATTAGACCTGGGCCTCCCTGTCGCTGCTGAGGCTGGAGGCAGTTCTGATCTACTTGTCAGCCACCTGGCTGAGGACGCGACGGTCCCTTCACGGGGGCTTTATTTTGAGGAGTCGACCCACTCCACATTCGTGATTGCGTCATGGATGCTGACACACTTCAACTCTGTGGCTGTCATCACTGGGCCGAACGGCGTTCCTCAACCTACTTCCACATTGCCCTACTACCTCCTCATCAGAAACTGCCAGGTGGCGATGCACTCTCCCTTGCATGTCCGGACGAGGACAGTTGTTGGGTCCAGGGGGGTCTACATTAGTGGCAGCCAATACCGCCTGCTGACTTTGCGCAAGCAGATCCTTCCCTCACGGACTCCTGACTGTATGGGGGTATGTTCAGATGTGGAAGCGTTCGCGAACGCAGACGCTCTATGTGTTGCGCGCTGTCCAACGATGACATACCGCTGGGGCTTCGCCTCATACATGGGGGTGCCTTCGCGCACAGGTTTCCTGGCTCAGCGGCCAATTGACAGCATCCTTTCGTTCCGGGCGGTTTTCCGGACGATGAACCGTGCGGCCATGTATGTCTTGTTCAAAGGTCTTACGGAGCTCGGCCCGAACATCTTCCAACGCCGTTGGGCTTGGCTCGGGACTGTCCTCGCTGTGGTGGGTAGTAGTGACTATCTGCTGTACGGTTGGGAATGGTCTTTTAGGAACGTCGGCCCTATCCTTGGCGTGTTCGCCGTGGTATATGGCACTACCAATCAAAGGTTGACCTCCGGAGAGCTCGTCGGCGTTGCTCTACACATGGCTTTCTTTACTGTCAGTGGCCTGACCCGAGATGCGTGGCTCTCTGTCCTGTCAAGGTTAGCGGCGAGTGGGGCGTTGATCGCTGCAACGCTCACCAGTGGCCAGAAAGGCTTCGTCCCGACTTATTGGGTGCTGTTCTTGACTGGCGTTGGGCATCTCCAGCGCCACAGCGAGATCACACTCTCCGGTGTCGGCGCTTGCGCAATGGACGTCAGCGCCCTGGGATACATAATCACCTGGTTGCTTGACGGATCCAGGTACGCTGACCATTCGAATCCATTCTTGGTCATCTTTATGCTCATCCTTGAGTTCGCTGTCCGCTGGCTCATGGCCATCCTTTCGGTCGCAACTATCACTACGACCAATCCGTACCGGAAGCGGAAGAAGGAGGATGATGGTGAGGACATCGTCTACTGGACTAGCTACTTTATCGAGGAGCTCAAGCGTCCGTCTTCGCTCAGTCCAGTGATCGCTGGCATTACCAATCCAGGGCTGGTCATCATCTCCATGGTGCTCTATTCCCTAGACGACACCACTCCAATCCCGCAAACACATTCTGTCGACCTGGAGTACACCATGCGGGGATTTTCTTGTAAGCCTTTTGTGCTTTTCTGGGCCGGCGATCTTCTATATCGCTGAGGGACTTGCTAGGAATTTGTCGCGCGCAGTCTGCTCGAGCCTGTCCGCCAAAAAAACCCTAAACCCTAAACCCTCCGTAAGCTCAAAAAAAACTCCCTAAGCCCCTCATCGTTTTCAGCTCAAGGCTTCAAGGGAGTCGGGGTTTGAGGCTTCACAGGAACCCACCAGCAGATCACCAGGCTTCGAAGTACCTAGACCCCCCAACTACCCTTTCTTGTAGCCCCTGCTTGCCTCTTATATCGTGAGAAATATCAGAGCCCTTTAAAGGGTACTTTATTTCGGGGCTCCGAGGTAAGGGGGCATCCCCACATTTTCCTCACCCTCAACGCATAAACCCCAAAGCCCCGAAGTCTCTCTAAACCCGAACCCTAAACCCAAAACCCCTAGACCCAGACCCCCAACTACCCTCTAATATACCCTTTTTCCCGACTATGAAGGAAGGGCCATAAGGGCTCTATTAAGAGGCACTTGGGGGCTCCTGGGAAAGTCCTCGAGCTCACCTCCCCTAAGCCCTAAACCCTAGACCCATAAAGCCAAGACCATTGCTTGCTGTGAGGTGGGGTCTAGGGTTGGGATCTTGGGAATAAGAGCTGAAGGGCTGAACCTGTCCACCAAGGTTCCTTCAAGGGGTGTGGGGAGGGGGGGGGGGGCGGTTGAGGGTCACCCGGGCTCTAAGATGGGGCCTTCAGAAGTAGAAAAGGGTTTTGGGGGTATGCGGTTTGGGGTTTAGGGTGGAAGGGTGTCTATAGCCGGGGCTCACTTTCACTTCAACAAAGCGAAGGTGGTTATCGATCCGAAGGACAAGGATATGAAGGAGAAGGCGCCCCCTGCGGTGTATGTCAAATATCGCTCATGTTCAGTCGTTTACTTAATGGTGTGTTTGTGTACATGCCCACACATGCATCATGCTTGTGTGGAACCTGCAGTTCACGCAGGTGTCATTCTGCTTCGGGGTGGATGAAGTTCCTGGCTGGTGGGGTTCTTGGGGGTTCGGGCTTCCCTAAACCCTAATTGAACCTGAAGCCCTCCTCCGGGCTTAGGGTTTAGGTTACATCCTAGGGTTGGGGTCGGTTTTCCATGGGTGGAGCTTCGAGCTTCATACCCTAAGCCATACCCCGCCCTTAACGCCTGTCGTAGTTGGGGTTCCTCGTTATGATCTTCATGTATAGGTCCTTATACAGGTAGACTAGTTGGGGTTTTGGTGAGCCATACTTGTATACCCTGAACTGTCCGTGCGAAGTTCATGCGTAAGGATTTGGGTTAGGGGTATACGTTTCTAGGATGTGGTTGTCAGGGCGAAGTAAACGGTTCATAGTCTTGAGTTCGTCGTAAATCATACCTGGAAGCAAGCTGAGGAGGTGGCCAGGGGGGCGTTCAGGAGAGTTCGCTGTTCTTATTTATGTAGAGTTTATAGCAAACACATCGCTACACCACAGTCGTTTAGTCTGTTCAATCATATAACCCTTTGCTGAAGTTGTACATGCTCGATCTCCGTGGGGTATAGGCAGGCGGACAGGCAGATAGGCATCCATGCCGAAATGAGCATGAATGGTTCAGCAGTTTTTGTTGATGAGGTCTGAAAGGTTCTGCTGTAATATAATGGCCTAAGTATTTACCAATACCATGGTGCGGGTTCCTTGTTAAGTTAATAGTTATAGTATAATGGTCCTCAACCCCCTATTCTACCTGTTAAGGCCCCTATGTTAGATTCTGAGACTGGGAGGTGAACGCAAGAATCTCCACAGGGTTCTGGTTTCAATGTGGTCTACGGTTTCCTTCTTTGGATAGAGGTTTTAGGGTCTATAGTAATCAGGGCCGCAGGGATTAGCCCTTTGATGGATTCGGTTTGCTGGAAGTTTCGGTTGCAGACAGTACTTGGAGAGGCAGGGGACTTAGCAATTAGGTTATAAGTAGAGTTGAAAGTACCCTAAATGGAGTTACCCCAATTATAACCCCACTTATAAGCCCACTTACCAAGTCCCCTGCCCCTCCAAGTAGATGTTGTTTTGAGGAGTTTGGGTGATTTTTTGACCCTACCGGGTACCAGTCTGGGGAGAAGGTCCGGTTGTAATCGTGTCCACAAGAAGAGCAGAAGGAGTCGTCGTCCCTTCTCCTTATGTAGTGAACCCCAGAAAGTTGGAACATGGTTTTAGGAGGATTAATGCTAGGATCCCTTATACGTTGCCACAAGGCATAAGGGTAATGATGTTCCAACTTGCTGGCTTCTACTACATAGTGAGAACACACCATACATCCACAAACCCAGAAAGCCTAAAGGCATACACCCCAACACCCAAACTCCGTAAGCCCTAACCCTAACCCAAAACCCCCTGAAACCCTAAACCCTATAAGCCCTACGACGGCCAACGTCAGCTCGCTTCCCGACAGGTTAAGGCCGGCATTACCAAGTTTGATGCTTGGCAGCATCGTTGAAGTATATAGGGATCTATACTATGATCTAAGCTATATTCCTTAATTAAGGGGTATAGGGCTCTCTGGGTTATTCATCGTTGAAGAATTTTGGGGTGATTTGGGTCCCGAACTCTTAAACCCTAAAGCTGAAAGGAGGGCTTAGGGTTTAGGGATCACTTGGGGCCGAAACCTTAAATCCTGAACCCTTAACCTCAAATAAGTTTAGGGCTTAGGGTTTGAGGATTATTTGGGTCCTAAGCCTTTAACCCCGAACCCTAAACCTTGAAGGAGTTCAGGGCTCAGGGTTTGGGGGATCTTTTGGGTTTGAGGCTTCGGGCCTACCTACTTACTTCCCCACCGTACCCTACCCTGCCCTACTCGGGTACTTACGGCTTGAGACATGGCGCAGGGCGGGGGAAGGCCACTGATGTGCAAGCATGGACGCCGCATTGTGGACGGCAACATGGGGAGTGTTCTGAAAAACTTGCCCAACGATTGGTACAGAGCGATTTCCAGGAATGGCAAAGTAATTTTTTAATACAGCGGGGCGATGCAGCACCTGGAAGATGCCGACGCATTTCAATCCAGTGCCATGACCGGATTTAAGACTCTTGGGTAGTCTTTAGGCTTTAGGATTATGGTTCTTTTTAAAGGGATCTCCAATAAAGTATTTTTGGCAACCTATGTGGTGGCGTCTGCCTTTCCAATCTCCGCTGTACTTGATACGTCGTGGCACCCCCTCGCCTGCCCCTCCAAGTACCTGAGGAAACATCCTTACTGCAGACCCCGAGTTTAATGTTCCCAGTACCCTAAACTTGATATGATTAAGGATCCTAATCTTACGGCCTTGAAACAGAGCGTTGTGATTTTCCGGTTCCATACAGTCATAGAGCTCTTGAAGAGCCTAGCCTAAATCCTTAGCCCTAGACCTCCGCCCTAAATCTCCACGCCCTAGTTGTAAGGCCTCTATGCTATTAGAAATCTCCGCGCCACTGAGTTTCGAGCTCCCCGATCGCCGCCCCAATGATTTAGGGACTTGGTTAAGGTGTTTAGGCTTTAGGGGTTTAGGGTCTGGTTCTTAGCAGGGAATGGGGGAATGGATTATGGAGACTATTCTTGGCGGATTATATTGGGACCACTATAGGGATCCATTCCCCCGTTTCCTGCTAAGCAACAGACAGTTTAGGGTCTAGGGTGTTTAAGCTGAGGGTTGAAATGCTCGTTGTTACCATGGTGCCGCCATTCGTCGGCGGCATTATCCTTGAGGTCATTGTTGTGGTGATGGTCGTGCTGATCGCCACGGGTAGTGCTGGCGCTCATGTCATCGTTTTAGAGTCGTCACCACCAGCACCACCACCATGGTAGTCTCCATATGTCATCGCATTTAGCTGTGGTCGTAAGAGCGGTTTTAGCAAGCATGTTTGCAATTTTCGGACTTGCCGATGCCCTCATGAGGCCAAGAATGAGCCAGATGAGCATGGGCGGCTCGACGGCGAAGGGTAGTTGTTCCAAAGTAGGGCTTGCAGGGATTCGGCTGCCATTTTCAACACTGTGAGCTTCTCTTACACAAGAACTTAGACCAGGTTCAGGGTACACATGGGTATAGCATAGCTAATGGATTAGGTTTGAAGTGTGCTTGGGGTTTTGGAGTTAGACTTCTTCTACACCAGTGTCCCCCTGTTGAGGCTCCTCTTCTCACAGGTACCTTCCTTCAAAAGGAGGCAAAGTGTAATATGAAAGCCGGCAACAGCGACTAGCTATTTTTGTGCAGCTAGACTTGAATTGTACCCCGGCCTCGGTTCAAGTTATAAACTTCCGAGTAGAAGGAGCTGGAAGGGAGGCTGGGGCACAGGGCAGGGTTCAGGGTTGAGGGTTTGGGCTTCTGGGGTGGATGACTTTCTGGGGCTTGGAACTTATGTTTGTGTTTGTTTTTTTGGCGGGGCGGTTTTCGAGCTTTAGGGTTTTTGTTGAGGGCTTAGGGTTTTGATGTTAAAGGCTTCAGGGTTTAGCGTTTGGGCTTCGGAGGGACGCAGTATATTCCTCGGTCCCAATTCATTCATTCTCGATGCCGGAAAGCAGTGGAGTCTTTTGGCACTCAATAATTGGCCGAGTGGGTACGATGAATATCGTGGCCCTAAACCTTAAACCCTAAACTAGCAGAGAGAAGAGTTTCCTTCTTGGCTCCTGTTTCATGGGTATGTTGAGCCATGCTTCCATGATTCGGTCACCCATGTTAGCTTTAACTATAAACCCTAAACTGCCCTAAACCCTAAACTTCAACCCTAAGCCCTAAACCCTAAACCCTAAATCCTGAACTAGCAGGCCCTGGTGCACCTTGTTGACCTAACCCCTTATTATAAGCCCTAGACACGAGAATATAATACGCCCTAGACTCTAAAGCTTAAAGCAGCAACTGCAACCCAAACTGTCCCAACCCCCACCTGCCAGCAAGCATAATAAATCAAAGCCACTAAAACCCTTAGCCCTAAATGCTACCTGTGACCCCAAACCCTACAAAATAGTAGGTTATGACCCCTCAACCCCTCAATTAGAGGGTAGAACCCTTAAAACGGTAGGGTTTCGGATCCCCAGGTAAACCTTGAGCCCAGGAGACATCCCTTCAAGCGCGCCTTTACCATCTACCCCGAGGGCATCACGAACTCCCAATTGGGCCTCTACCGTCGCGGGACTGACAGAGAAGGGGTTTTAGGGTTTAGGGGTTTAGGGTTTAGGATCAAATTCCTGGCCTTATTGCGGGGTGTGTAGAACAGGATTGCACAATGTCGCTTCTGCAATAGGGCTTCCCATTTTCTGAAACTTCCGTAATTCGCGGGCTAAGGCTTTATCGCCCACAGAGAAAGGCAAGTTTTCCGGGTAACATCACGCCGCCCCCCCAACTCTATTCTTCCATCGCCGGGCCTACAACCCTCAACCCCTAAACCCTATAAACCCTAAACCCTAAAATCCTAAACCCTATAAGCCCTAAACCCTATACCCCCCCCCCCCCCCCCCCCCCCCCCCCCCCCCCCCCACCCCCCCTATCATTGCCCATACATACAGCTTAGGCCTGGAGCAACCCTAGACCCCAAGCTCGAAATTCTCAAGCCCTACACTCACTAAGAACCCCGGGTCGTCCCAAGCACGGCCGACCTGCTTCAACAAGCCCCTAGCAGGCTGCCCAGTGCTTAAGGCCTCTGAGCGCTTTCGGTTACCCTAAACCCTAAACCTTAAACCCTAAACTTCAAGCCTTCTACGAAGACCCGGTCGGAGACTGTCTCCACTAGGCTTATACTCACGCGCTGCCAAGTATAGGATTATGCCCCGATGTTGTGGAAATTCAGGGAAAGGCCTAGACTACGTCCCTGGACACCCAAGACGATCAATCAGGCCCCAATCGGAAATACCCTGAACACACCTTTAAAAGATTCGAAACCCTACAAGCTCTATAAGCCTTACCTTAAGCCTGAAAAACTTACTTTTTTGGGACTTATGTAAGGAAGTCATAATAAGGAGCCCCAAAAAGGTAGGTTATTCAGGGTTAAGGTACACCCTCAACGCTCCAGACCCAAAGGGTCCTATGTACCGATATAGTAGAATGTAGGGTTTCCATATCAGGAATTACTATTATGACTTAGGGAAGTATCCCCCATAACAGTACATAGGACCCTTTGGGAGAAGAGCCAGGCTTTAATACTGGAGCCTTCTCACCCGGTGTGCCGGTGCTCCCTGTGCTGCAGCGCTTCCCCTACACAAACATGAGCCCTGACGCAATTATCGTTGTTCTCCGATTCGGGTTTTAGGGTGTCGGGTTTGGTATTTGGGAGTTTCCGAAAATTAGGGGACCTTATGTATTTGGGGGTCCTTATAATAAGGATCCTACTATTTAGAGTGCTATATTTAAATATTAGGGTCCCCTGTTTTCGGAAACTCCAATTTAGGTTTGGCATGAGTCAGTTTCCCATGCGTTTCCAAGTTCTGCTTGGTAGAGATACAGCAATCCGCAATCCCAGAATGCCTTGTCGTTTCATCGCTTCACACGCTCTTCCGATTTTTTCGGGATTTGGTAGTTTTCAAATTAGGGTCCCGTTTGGTCTCCGCAATAGTGTGGCACCCGTTTTAACAGGACCCTAATTAGAAAACTAGCCATTGAAGGGGATGTTAGGATTTGAGGCATGTCGGCCTTGCTTTTGAGGTTGCTCCAGGATGTCCATAAAAATGGTTCCAAAACTCCTGAGCCCCTAAACTTGAAGGCGTTTGGAAATATAATAAGTTTAAGGGTTTCTAAGGCCTCAACCTGAAACCCTGCGCCCTAAACCCTCAATCCTAAAACCCGAAATAAACCCTACATCCCTACATCCTCTCAACCTTGAGCTAATCTAGGTAGGGCTTTGGGACATTTTCAATTTGCTCTTATTGGGCTTAAGAGGATCTTACCTGCTAAGATTTTTCAAAGGCTTTCAAAGCACCTCCTAGTAACCCTCCCGCCCCCAAGGACCTTATAGTCAGGGCCCTACTTGGAGGATCATGGGGGTCAGTAAGTATGGTTATAAGTACCTTAATTGGGGTTATAAGTAAGTATAAGTATAGTTACCCCAATAATAACCCTAGTTACTAAGTCCCATGATCCTTTAAGTAGACCCTAAAACCCCTCTTATAGAACCCCTATAGATCCCTTTACAGGAGCCCTTTAAGGAACCCTATAAAGTTACTAAGTCCCATGATCCTTGAAGTAGACCGACCCAACCGTGAGGTCTCTGGAAACCTTGGGCCACAGTCTCCGCCCCGAGGAACCCTGCTTGGGTCTCCGCGTCGAAGATCTCGTCGGGAAATGACGCCAGCCTTGAGATTCTAAGGTTTCGGATCCAGAGTGTAGGGTTCAGAGTTTACTTAGGGGTACTTGGCGCCCCTTCTGGTCGGGGGTGGTGCCTTCAGTTTCAGGCACTGCCCCACACGCCAGGGGAATACGGTTGGAGTTTGCGCAGCCAACAGGGGATCAGCTGAGCGTGCTTTTTCCCTTAGTCTTGCTGCCGGTGCGTGTGTGCGTGTTTGGTTCGGCCACCCCGCACCCCAAGTCCTTTCTCCGAGCCCGTGCCCCCAGCTTAGTACCCGTGTGAGGGATCACATGGGGAAGAGCTATTGTTCCTGCGAAGTGGGCTGTCTTGCCAAGTGCCCAAATCCAACCCAAGCCGTGCAGCTTGGGGGGGCGGGCCCATGGAGGTTCGGGTGGCACTTTTCCCTGCTTGGATTGAGGGGCTCGGAGCGTCGAACTCTTGCCGGATCTCCCCGATGACGAAAACGGAGGGGGGAAGAGATGGCGGGAGGGAACGTTTCCGTTCGGCCGGAGTGCACCCCAGGCCATCCATTCACTCACTCACTCACTCACTTAGGGGTACTTGGAAATTATTTGTCATTTTTGGTTATTATAGTCCCTAAGAAACAGCTAAAATTATGATTTTTGCTATGGTTCTAAGTTCAGTATAGTGTAGGGTTTAGAGTTTAGGGTGTTGGGGAAATGAGCCTGGTATGTAGATGTAGATATAGCCTACAAGCAGTTTCCTTGAGATTTTAAGGTTTCGGGTCCAGGGTGCAGGGTTCAAGTAGGGTGGAGGGTTCTTAGGTTGCAGGGTCTGGGGTGTAGGGCCAGTGTGGGGTTTAGGGTCTAGGGTTTAGGATGCAGCTGAGAATTTGGAGTTCCGGACCTTGTGTTTAGGGTTTGGGGTTTATATAGGGCTCAGGGGTTAGGGTCTAGGGTGTAGGGCGAGGGGTCTGATTAGGGTTTAGGGTTAGGGTCTGGGCCATTGGCTTCTAGAGCTTCTAGGGTTCGGGGTCTACTTGGAGGATCATGGTAGTAAGTATGGTTATAAGTACCTTAATCAGGGTTATAAGTAACAATAAATACGGTTACCCCAATGATAACCCTAGTTACCAAGTCCCATGATCCTTTAAGTAGACCCTAAAACCCCTCTTATAGAACCCCTATAGATCCCTTTAAAGGAGCCCTTTAAGGAACCCTATAAAGTTACTAAGTCCCATGATCCTTTAAGTAGGGTTTGGGGCTTCTGGGGTCAGAGCCCAGGTTCGGGGTCTAGTCTATAGCGGTTCGGGTGTGGAGAAAGGTTTGCATTTTTGTTGGACTGGGGGGCCTTGGGTTGAGGGAGTTTACGATTTAGTGGGTTCGGGGCTGAACCGGCACCTTTGAGCACTCAAGTCTTAACCGCTCTGCGGTACAGTCACCGGAAAGCCCCCACATGGTTCGGGTTTGCTTTCGGAGAGGTCTGTTCTTTATAAGTCTAAGTTGCAGGACTACAAAGGTTTCATATTGTGTCTCCAGGAGTTTACACTTAGGGTTTTAGGGCGACATGTGTAGGGTTTACAGGGTTCAGTGGGTCCAGGGTAGACGATGTACAGGCTGCGCAGTGCCTCTCGGCGACTCCATCTGCCGTCGGTTGTGATTGTCGGTGATGTTGGGGGGGGGGATGAGGAGGTATTCCTTCTGCATGATCTCACGAATCCCACCACAGTAGGCTCCAAGGTGGTGGCACATGGTCTAATATGGGGATTGAGTGATCGTACTGTTCCTTAGCCCAAACCAACTCTGGATATTGAGCGCCCTCTGTTGTCCATAAACACGCCCTCGCAGGGTTGTTATTTCTGCTGTATAAAAGGTGTCCAGGGTTGTGGGGCAGTAGTTATCCACAGCAAGTCATATGCCATACCGCCCTCTGTTTCAAGTACTTCAGGTAATGCACCCTTATGACGATAGGCTGAACACACAGTTCGAGATTCCAGAGTGCTCCTAAAGGGAACTCCAGAAAGTTGGAATATGGATTAATGGTAGGATCCCCTATAATTTACCTTAAAGGGGTTACGATAATGATATTCCAACTTTCTGGCTTCTACTGTATTCCTTTCTTGGAGGATCAGACCGTACTGTGTTCAGCCCTAAGCCTTTTACTCGCAAGGATCTGCCTTGGATCCTTCTTCGGTATATGTCCCAGATCACCATGCCATTGCAGTCTCGGCCAAAGTTAACTTAGGGATTTCTGAAGTCGGTTGAACTAGGGTTCACGGTCCGTTATCTAGGTGTTCAGGGATTTTTTAGGGCGTAGACCTGGTTTCTAAGGCTCAGAGTGTCAGTTTTTCCCTGAACCCGTCGATTTCTCTTTGTTGTAGATCTTCGCGTTTCGGGGTTGACGATTGTGACTCTTGGGAAGCGTATTCGATTCCATCAATCTTGGCAGTTTGTAACACCAACCCTGTATAACATCCAAATATATGCATGCATGTTTAGCATTGACATACTAGTATTGCTATTCCAATATGTAAACACCCCCAAACCCAGAATCCTACACCCTAGAACCTAAACTCTTAACCCCACCTTGTTTGAGGTGTAGTCTTTTCCCCCGGTTTAGAGCAACCCGTCTGTTTGGGCTCTAGGGCCTTTGCGTTTAGGATTTCCTCAATCCCAACCCTGAACCCTTAAACCTTATAAACCGTAAACCCTTACTCACTAAACCCTAAACCCTCACTGTGAGTACTTAGTCAGGGTTTTTATGACTGACACTGAATCTCGGTGGAAGTCACCTGTGTGTAAGCCGACTGCGGGCAGACTCAAAAGTTACTACACATTTAAAAAAAAAACCTCACTGAACCCGGGACCGGGTTTAGAGCCCAATGGTTTTCATGGCTAGGGCCTAGGGCATTTACCATCCATGCTGTCGCCGCCTCATGCGGCAGTCTGGGGCACCTTGCATAGTCGGGCGACGCCCAAGGCTGACAGGGCTTGAGGTGTAGAGATCAGGGTTCAGGGCTCGCAAAAGTGCTTAGGGTTCTATGCATGGTTTCAGATGGGCGTTACTATGACAAGGGTGTACAAGGATTGACAACATGACAAGGCCTGTGTAGAGGCATGTTTCAGCGGTAGAGTGTCTTTCCTGTCGTTGAGTGTCTTGTTCGGTGCTTAATTAAGTCTATCCCCTAACGGTCCATGTAATTACCCATATAGCACATACCTAGGCCTCAAAGTGGTGCCTATGTGGGTATAGGGCAACAGTATATACTATATGAGTCATATGAATAAATGAACCTTGAGGGCAGGCGCCCCAATGCATCCGCACACCCTGTATCCCCCATGCTTTTAGAGCCGTCGAGTTAGCACTAGACGAACCAAGATTCTGAACCCTGCAGTTCAAAAGCAAGGCATGTCAAATTTATGGATGTGTGGGAGCCCACAGACGCTGCCACTTGGCCGATTGTTGTTTGTTGTATGTGTTGTTGAGGCTTCCCTAAAGTGTCAATTTCGGATTCCCATCAAAAACGTGGACCCGCAACTTCCCGCAAGGTTCAACACAGCCCTACACCCCGAATCCTAACCCTTTTATGTCACAGTAGCCGGCCTTCCAAGACAAAGCATTATGAGTACTGACGAAATAGAAGCCATAAAGTTGGAACATTGTTTCAGCAGAAATCATGCGCGAGAGGCGCTGAACAATTGCACTATATTCCTTAAATAATTTCGGGGGCTCTTCTGTAGAAGGCATAGTGTGGACGGTCTGGGACTCGTGCTAAAGGGTTCATGCGATTTAGTAGCTAGGTTTACAAACAAGGTCACGATATGTTTAAGTATGTAACAGTATGTAAGTATAGCCCCGGTTGAGGCACTTATTTATGACTGTACTGACTAAGTCGCATGAACCTGCAAGTGGGGTTTAGGGCCTTTGGGGTTTGGAATTGGGGATCTCACATCCCACAAGCCATAAACACTAAACTCTGAACCCTAAACCCCAAACCCTAAACCCTAAACCCTAAACCCTAAACTAAACTTGAAACCCGAAGCCTGAGCTCTTGAAGTCTAGAGCCTGCTGCAATTACCCCCAAACTCTGAGCCCTACCCTAAGGCTCCCGGACCCTCGTAGTGAGATCCCAAGCCTTGGCTCCCAGAAAGCCCATGACCCTCTTAGGAGCCTCAGGGTAAGCCCTAACCCTAACTTCTATTTCTTAATGCCCTAACCCTAACTTCTATTTCTTAATGAGGAACCCTAAAAAGGTAGGTTATCCAGGGTTTAAGGTAAGCCCTACATCGACATCCCCGAGAAAGCCCATGATCCTCCTTTAGGGTAAGCGCTGAACCGGTCTGACGAACTAGTCGCCTGCCCCTGCAAAACCCTAGGGCCCCTTTTAAGTCCCACCCTAAATCCTAAACCCTGAACCCGAAACCCTGCATAAGCCCTAAACAACAGTACGGCAACCTTGTAAAGAGGACCCCTACAGAGACTGTCATGCAGGGAGCAACCCATATACACCCATCAAACTAGAACTCTGATCGCCCTAAAGCGCCCTTATGACGCGACCTAAGACCCAGGAGATCGCCGACCCTGTTCTTTTTGCAAGCAACGTGCACCGCGGTCCGGAGGTTTAGGGTTTAGGGATCGTGGTTTAGGGTTCAGGGCTATGCAGGATTATTTAATGGTGCAGGGTTTAATTATCGTGGTTTTGGGCTATTTAGGGTACAGGTCTGTGCAGGAATAGTTTAACACTTAGTTCTACCTAGTTGGGGCTGCAGAAGATTATTTGGTGTGATTTAGGATTGTTTACGGTTGCAGAGCTTGTAGTTCAGGGTTTACAGGCTAGGCTTAGGGTGTAGCGTTCAGGCTTAGGGGTTTCGGCTTACGTGAAGGATCAGGGGATTTAGCGAGCAGTTATAGTTGAGGTTGCAGGTACCCCCAGACCTTCCAAAACCCCTTAATTAAGGAATATACCTTAAATTAGACTAGGATCCTTAATATGATTTAAGGTATATTCCTTAATTAAGGGGTTTTGGAAGGTCTGGGCCCTAAGCGTCTCCCCAGGTACTAAGTCACCTCCTTGAGGTAGGGTTCAGGGTGTTTTTTTTGAACAAGGGCCTTGAGAGAAAGTCTTGTAATAGGGTCGACAACATTTGTGAGGTCCTTCGCGTCGGGTTGAGGGTGCTGCTTTCAGCAAATATGGAGCTTGGTATACACGGTTGCATAGGGTTTTCGATTTAGGGTTTAGGGGGGATCTCTTAAGAATGAGATCCCCCGAGCCCTAAACCCTCAACCCAACTCCTAGAGCAGCACACCCAAAGCTTTCCTCCTCGGAGCCTAAACCCTGAATTCCTAAACCCTATAGCCCTAAACCCTGATCTCCTAAACTCCGAAACCCTAAAGCCCCCTGCATCCCCAAGGCCTTAACGGAACCACCTAAAGCCCCGAAGGCCTTACCAAGTCTCGGATATGATAGGTTTCTAAGTTTGAGCCGAGCGGACGATATTTGTCGTGGAACCGAAAGCCCAAAACAACTTGGAGCTTCATGGGTAGTTGTAAGTGGGGTTATAAGTCCCCAAGCATCGGCTGCAGCTGTAGTTATCCTACGTAGATATGCCCTACTTGTACATGTATTGTAACTACCTATGAACCTCCAAGTGCACCCACCCTCCCCTGTCAGTCCCTTTATAAATTTTCTATGGGTCATCAAGACTACATGCGGTTCTCTTGCCCTCTAGACTCTGTAGCCGAAAATCCTTTCAACTGGAGCCGCAGGGTATACAATTGATCCTCCCAAGGCCTAGAAGGCCTAGAGAAAGAGCTCGGGTCTTAAACTTTAAGGGTCCAAGTACCTAATTATCATGCCTATACTCTCCAAAATCGTAACCTGCAGGACTACTATCCTAAACCCAAATACCCAATTATTGGATCCTTTGGACCCTTGGGGAAAGCTTTACCTACTCGAAGGCTGTATTGGAATGAACCAGCATGGCAAACCTGGTGACGCTCGCAGCAATATGGGCGGTTGTCAAAACTATGGTCCCTTTTTCGGTACCCCAAATATTAGGTGCCGTACAAAAAAAAGGACCCAAAAAGGGGACCCTAATTTTGACAACAACCCATATGAAACTCGAGCCGATTGAAGTTCTCGGCTTACGGATTTCAGCACGCTGTTCCCGTTTTAAACCTCCACCGCCCAGCATTGAAGTCCTATATAGGTGGTCGAGTAGAGTACAACTTGGGGACCAGACATCAGCTTGCATGCAGAACAATACTCAAACCCTGGGTGCGGGGTTAGGGTTTAGGCTTAGGATCATCCGAAGCCTGTTTTGATATCTCTGGACAAAGGCAGAACTACATGGCATTGCAGCTGGGCTGTGTTGTGACGGACACCAGCAACAAGCATCTCGTCCCAGTTCGTTATCTCAAATTGTTTTGTTCAGGGTACAGATAGTTTCTTCAGTGGTTGTATACTCAGACCTGGACAGTCTTGAGATAGACCATTGCATGGTATGCTCAGACCTATGCACAAACAGTTTAAGGCAGGATAAGTGACATATCAGAACCCCGATACCTTGTGCAGACGGGTTTTCTTCTAGTAGAGGTGACTGGGTAGCCAGTCGCTGAAATCGGGTTTTTAAGGTGTTGCTCTTGTATATGCAGGATCTAATGAGGGAATATTCAGAGCCCTATTTTGCATTGCGCCAACCCTTCAATCCAGAAAAGGGCCAAGCATGGTGATTTGTGGGGGTCTTTGTATCTCGGATCCCTAGTTGTCCTAGTGAGAAACTCGCCTGAGCATTTGGTGTGATGGGCTTTGGATGAGCTCAGGGCTTTGGGTCGAGGGTTTGCCAGGACCCGCCTAGTAGCCGGCACAGTAGTAGTTTATTGTTTGTCTTGCAGTATTCAGTTCATTTAGGTATATTCCATTTGTTATCGTTCCATATAGTTTGTTACGGTTCTTTGTAGTTGCACATGCCCCAAAGCCCTGTTTAAGTCATTACGGCCGATGTACTAGCTGACTCGACCCCTCGCCGTGCCAGCCCTCGCCGCCATTTCACGTCATCCCTGCTTCCCCCAAACCCTAAACCATTATAAACCCTAAACCCGAAGCCCTAAACCCGAAGCCCCAAACCCCTCATCCCTGCTGAGGATTCTGCGGGAGAAGGGTGGGCCTTTCGATCTCAAAGCCTCGAAGGCACCGTCCTCGGGCGCTTACGACGGTCTCGGGTGGAAGGGTTTAGGGCCGTTTAGGGTTAGGGATTTAGGGTTTAGGAGTTTAGGGATTTCGGGTTTCGGGTGGAACCTTAAACCCTGAAGGGTTGATGTTCAGGTCTTTTGGAGTCTAAGGCTTTGGGATTGAGGTTTTACTGATTCTGGCTTACGTCGCACCAGATCCTCAAAAATGTGCAGTCCAGAATGGGTGTTTTCATACGACTCCAATTCTGGGGCTTTGGGGCTCGCAGTGTCAAGAGTACAGGTAGGGGCTAAAGGCTTATTATAGGGGCTTAGGTTCCGCATTATACATTTGACGAACCATCCTGTGGTATACCCCAAAGTCCATATTGTGCAATTGAGGTTCAAACATCAGCTCCAACAAGAAAGTGGTAAATTCGACGGACACCTTTTCTCCCCCAGAGAAAGGAACACATGGAGACATGGGAAATTTGTTTGCCTGGCATATCCTTGCATCCGAGAATGATATGTATGTCTTCCAACTATCATCAACTCCTGGACGTTTGACCCTATAAGTTGTTCGACTCTTCAAACTCCTAAGAGCATTCCTTGAAGTCTTGCTTGTCGTGGCCCTATACAGTACTAAGAAACCCTGCGTGGAAGAATTCATTCGGGAATTGCAGGGTACGTACCCGAGACGAAGCCCACACCGAGAGAGCCCAGTATCCCCAAATACGCACTTCCCATAAAGGGAACTCCAGAAAGTTGGAATATGGTTTCAGGGTAGGATCCCCTATAATTTACCTTAAAGGGGTTACGATAATGATATTCCAACTTTCTGGCTTCTACTGTACACACGCAATTCCTGTCAGGCTTGATGGGATGTGTGGAATGTGTTAAGGCCTCCACAACAAGATTGGCATGGACTCATGGCTCTTCTTGTAGATTTTTTCGCAGCGAGTGAATGTCCGTTACAATATCCAGGGCTAGCAATATCCCCTCTGTTATATTGCTTAATTCGCTGACTTTGAGGCCTCAGCATACCTCCACTCTCAGCCACCCCAATTCCTGGCCTAAAGTCCTACACCCGCGACCACGACCCCAAACCATAGATCCGATAAAGCGAAGCCTATGCCAACTCCTGTCGTCCTGAGGTCAAGCCAAGCGACAGAGGAGACGAGTCAGTAAAAACTGAAAGGCCGAAATCTGCATGAAGCCGTTCTTGGGCCATCGGGGTGCTTGTTCATGTCTCATTAAATTGTGACTCCTTGACGATGATTCATGGACAAACCATCGATCGACATGGAAGCTGAGTTTCGGACTTGAAGCCGCTAAACCCTAAATCATAAACCCTCTATAACCCTAAACATGCACTCAGTCCATAGAAGCCAAGCCCTAAACCCTGAGACCACACTGCAACACCCTCAATTTGAATCTGCTTTATGTACATCTGATGGGCATGCTGGAAGGATCAGGGGACGCAGTAAGCGGTAGATGAAAGCAAACAAGTAAGCGCTTAAGTACGGTAACTACCCCTGTTAGGGTACTTTTACTCGCAAGTACCACCTACTTACTAAGTCCGTCCCTAAGACCTTATAAACCCTAAACCGCACAAATCCCCAGTACTGTAGACGGCGTCAAAGATTGAACTAGCTCGAGGTCATGAGTTGTCAACCCCATCCCAGTCGGTTTAGGGTGAAAGGTTTAGGGACATCCCCCAAATCCACAGGTTTGAGGGTTTAGGGTGCAGGCACACTCTGAAACCTAAACCATCACCCAGATGGCCTGGGATTCCTGGCGGAGAAAGGTTGCTACGAAACTGGATGTGTTTAAGGTTTTCCTAGCCCCGAAAATGCATTGCCCTTTTCTAGGTTTGCCTCAATCTGCGTACCTGTTTCCTTGTTGAGGGCTGCTTCCCCAATGTAGTAGACCCACCAAGCCTAAAGCCTAAACTCAGTCCCGAGAGTTCCCGTGTCATGTGTGCCTCGTTCAGGCTAATCTGGTGGCTCTTACCCCAAGGGTCCAAAGGACCCAACAATAGGGTACTCGGTTTGAGGATAGTAGTTATGTAGGTTAGGAGTTTGGAGAGTGTATGATTATTAAGTACTTGGACCCTTGGGGTTATATTGACCCCAGAAAGTTGGAGCATAGATTTATGATGCTGCATGCTGCAATTCCCTATGCCTTTTTCAGGGCATGTGGATACTGATGGTCCAACTTTCTGGCTGCTACTGTAAACTTACCGAAAGGATCCATGTATCCAGGCGTCGGCCCTCAAGGTTGCAACAATGGAGCCCGTCAAAGGCCTAAGTAAATACTGCATTACATACGTATGGGTAGTTGTCTAAATTATGCCTCTGTTAGGGGCCTTTCTTATAGGGTGCCGTACGATGTTGGGGACCCAACAGGTGACCCTAATTCAGAGAATTATCATGAGCTACCCATATGGGTACATGGACCCGCACGATAACTTCGTTGGGTATTGTGATGTGTACAGGCCGTGAGACTCGGTGGCCCTATGCCCAACAGTTTCGCGGTATGAGGTTGTAAGATTTACTAGGATGCCCAGTAGTACCCTTATTCCTTTTTTGTAGTCCTAGGTTCCTTATAAAGTTACCCAATACCAAAAAGAGAGGCCTTTTTATTCTTAGGTTACTGGGTATCCTAGTTTAGGATTTAGAGCTATAAGGTTTAGGGCTTGGGCCTGTGGGCTTCAGAGCTTTGGGAATTTAGGTTGTGGAGCGTTCAGACCCAGTGCCTGGGTAGGGGAAGCTTTAGCAGATGTTCGGGCAACCTTTTATTGCTTGGAGCTGCCACGAGACATATGAGCTACTGTCAACTTTAGAGGCAACACGTCTGGTTTAGAGTATGGGGCCCCTAAACCCTAAACCCTAAACCCTAAACCCAAAACCGTGGCTGTCAACTTTAGAGGCATCCTTAGGCTGATGAAAACCGGGTATGCTTGATAGAACGAAACACCTTTCGGCAGACCAAAAGCCCCACAGAATCAGTTGAAATCATTGAGCTGGCAGTGGCTCTGTTATCTGAGACAGCTTGAGTCCTCCCTGGGCTCGTGTTTCATCTGAAGCCCTAAGGCATGTTGCCGGCTCGGCATTAAAGCTCCTCGTAATCCCGCGAAGGCCCCGAAACTGGCTCCAACCCTGCTCGAAAAAAGGAGCCTAGAGCACTAAAAGCTGCCCCCAGCGCCTGGCGCGTCCTGCTAATTTGAATAAACCTTGTGGAAGTTTAGAGACAGCCCAAGGTTAGTACTACTGGATGCCCTGGAAGTATTTAGCCAAAAGTGTGTCATAAATGGCCCCCCTCCCTCCAAAAGTCGCATATTCTCAAACCCTAAACTTCAACACCTATCCAACAAAACACACCAAATAGATATAGACGCGAGGCACAGTTGTTCTCTCTTTTGTCGCTCCGTGCAGAACCCTGTCTGTCGCTGTCTATCTGAATAACATTTGTTCATACACATATACACATACAGGTACAAGGGTCAATAATATATATATATATATATACATACATTCACATACACATAGCTACATATATGTCTGGATACACAGATACGTCTCTACATACATATACGGATATGCAAAGGTTCTATCGTAATGTTATCCCACCACTCCCTGCCCGTGTCCTTTTGCCTGGAGGTCGAGCGCGGCATCCTCCCCCGACAACTTGCGCACAGCACTCCTTGAGTGATGCCGTTTCCCGGAGTTCCTCGAAATGTCGATGTAGTGCTTAAGGCTTGGAGCTTACTTAGAGTCCAGGGCTCAGGAGTTCCTTGAAATGTCGATTTGGGGTTTTAGGGTCTGTAATAGGATTTTGCTGATGAGATAAGTGCTTGAGGCGTACGGTTTCTAAGTGTTTGTAGTTTGTGGATATCGGGTTTTTGGCTAGTAAGGCTGATTCTGGGCCCAGAGCGGTTTAGTGCATCACGACATCAGGATGGTTTGATGACGCTTCTAGACGGAGCTACTATGCAGCCAATCCTTAGGTGAGAAGGCCCCAATCCTTGCATCTCAGGCCAAACCCTAAACTAAACCCTAAACCCTAAACTAGCCCTAAACCCTCAGTTCCGGCCCCCTTCAGGCCGGGATTATAATTTAAGGACAGATAGTGCGCAGATAAGGGTGCAGGAGCTCGGCTCTATGACGCAGTGTTACGACAAGCTTCACGATTTGGGGTTTTGGGGTTTACAACTTAGGGTTCAGGATTCAGGATACGACGAGGTTGTGGGCCTAAGGTTTATGCGGCTTCGGACATGCAGAGGTGTGGGTGTTTCTCCGAAAATACGGGACCCTAACATAGTACCCTAAATAGTAAACATGCTTGTCGAAGATAGGTGTATACGTTGCGCATACTATCAACCCATCGATCTGATCTGTCTATCTATCTTTTTCTCCCTGTCTGTCTATACACCTACATTCACATTTCTCGATTTCATGCGTAAGTTTTTGTTTTATTTTTTATAAACTTGCATGTATGTATGTGCATGTACTGTTTATGTATGTCGAGACTTAGCATCTGCCGTATTTTGAGAAACTCCCACATGGCGAATCTGGGGAGGAAGAGAGAAAAGAGCGTGCTCATCACCATGCCCCAACCGCCAGCTCCTTTTTAGGGTTTGGGGTTTAGGGTTGCTTAGACCCTGAACCGTCACTTCCCTACCAAACCTCAAACGGACCCGAAAGGGTTCAGGGCTAACGATCTGAAGACCTTACAGTAGAAGCCAGAAAGTTGGAATATCATTATCATAACCCCTTTAAGGTAAATTATAGGGGATCCTACCATTAATCCATATTCCAACTTTCTGGAGTTCCCTTTAAGGGAGGCCCGGATCAGACCCAGGGGCCCCCTAAATCCGCCACCGACCTGCCCTAAGTCCTAAACCCCAAACTTCCAGACTTAACTGGGAGTTTCCGAAAATTGGGGGTGCCTTACTTTGGGGTCCGTGTAATAAGGATCCTACTGTTTGGGGTAGTATGTTAGGGTCCCCTGTCTTCGGAAACTCGCATAATTCGGAGACCTGAACCCAGACCTGAACCTGAAGCTTCGAAGCCATAAGCCCTACACTTATCCCTAAACACCAACCCAACTATGTACCTGTAGTAGAATGTAGGCCGGGCTTCTATATTCGGAATTACTATTGTGATCCAGGGAAGTATCCCCCATAACAGTACATACTGTTGATGATGTAAATCCTGCATTACCCATAATAAGGAGTATGCCATAATTCCCATAGTTTAGGGTCCTTAAGGTAATGCAGGATTTGTATCATCAACAGTAAGACCCTTTGGGTAACTAAACCTCAACCCTGCACTTCAGCCCTCGACTCGGCCCGTGAAAACTTTAGACCCCCTAATATACTACCCTAAATAATAGGATACTTATTTTAAGGACCCCAAAATAAGGTACCCTAATTTTCGTAAACTCCCAAATTATGGTTCCTTTTTTAGGTTACCAGAGGCTCTTTCCGTTCCCAGGTTCAAGGGTTGCTTTGAGGGTTCCTTTAGTGGCTCCCTTAAGGGGTTCCTTTCAGGGCTCCTCCAATGGGTACTTTCATGGTTTCTTATATGGTTCTGTTGTAATGAACCCCAGAAACTTGAAACATGGATTAAGGATGATGAGTGCCGGACGGGACTCCCTATGCTCCAACTTAAGGGCAGGTGGATAGTGATGTTCCAGTTTTCTGGCTTCGACAGCTGTTTTGTCAGTTTCGTGTTCCTTTGTGCGTCTTTGTAGTAAGTGTTCTATAAGGAGTTACTCCTAAATTCTGAACCCTAACCCCTAAACCCGAAACCCCAAACCACAGGGAGCCGCTGTAGAGGTCGGTTCAGAGTTGCAGTGGAAATATAGACCCGGCAGCTGATTCCTTGATGGGTAGTTGTCAAAATGGGGGCTTCCGAAAACAGGGAACCCTAATATACTACCCTAAATAATAGGATCCTTATTTTAAGGACCCCAAAATAAGGTAGCCCTAATTTTCGTAAACTCCCAAATTATGGTTCCTTTTTTGGGGCTACGGTGCCGTAGTATAATTAGGGGCCCCAAAAAGGGGCCATAGTTTTGACATCCACCCAGATGGTGGACTCATAATCACGAAAAACCGATGAAAAGGAACGACAATGGAGACCCTACAGCCCCAAAGCCTCAAGACTCGCCCCTTCATTGAGCCCTTGTCGAACCCTCGAAACCGAAAAAGAACTCTATGGAGTCTGTAGGTACGGTTTGGGATCCCACTTCGGGTCGAGGAGGCTTCACGAAGAACTCTGGCTTTCAATGTCTGCAACAATACATCTTCCTTCAACTTGGGCTCCGGAAAGCAAGAATAGCTGTTGATAGCGGCATTAGTTGTTGAACCTCTCAGCCAACGACAGCAACAACAACCACCACTTAGTGGCTAAACTCAACAGCCTTCATCGCTCACGCCCAAGACCTACTCTGCTGAGCCGTAAGCTTGAACAAGACAGACCCTCGACCTCGAACGCGCAGGACCCAAAATGTTAAATGCAAGGAGCCTGCAGTCATGGACTAACAAGAAGCACCGGTGTTACCTGGACCCTGAAATATAGCACCTGTATTGGTTATCTTAGCTTACAGTTTCTTATTATGGAGGATCCTAACCATGAGTAGGTTACCCGCAAAAGTTCAAAAAAGGTGCTACATTCTGGGGTCTAGATACATTCCACACGTCAGAGGGGATGCCAATGTACAGCAACCCCCACGCCTAGCGCCATGTCATTGGACCAGCTTGGCATTTCGAGCTGTCCTCTATGTGTTGGGGCCTTGGAACTTGTGCAACGTTTCGGGATGAAGCCATTACTGTCGAGAGAAGCCCATGATCCCAAACTTCGAGATCTCTGTTTTTGCAACCGTTTGGTAGGGCTCACGGAACCTTCCTTTATGTATACATGCATGTGCATATATGTGCACGTGTATGTGTGCGTTCGTGTATGTACGAACGGATGTATGTATGCATGAATGTAAGGATGCCTGTATGCATGTGGCATGTAAGCATGTAGGTATCTAGGTGTATGTATGTTTGTTGTAGATGTGGGAGTGCGTTAAAACCAAGTGAGTAAGTCAATTTATGTAACTATGTACATGCACACACAGATAAATAGACAGATACGTAGACAGATCTGGCTGTAGCTATTCACGCTTATATGACCTCCGCAAACTTACCGACCATGGCACAATTGCAAGCTGCCGACCGCAAGCTTTTCCAAGTTCTCGCAGATCAGGGCCGATCAGGGATTCAAGTGACTGCGTCAGGACGGCCGCTTGACGCTGTGTTTGAGGCGGCCACGTTGACGGCTGAAGTTGCACACTTGCTGCAGCCACTCCCGATTGCATCGGGTTCTACTGGGGCAGGAGACAAGGAGCGGCAAGGACCGTATTCACCACCACCTGCCCCATTTGGCTGTGGCAAGGGGCGCGGCAAGGGTCGCAAGGGCAAAGGCGCAGTGCGTCAGATGAAGATGCCAGCAGGACTCGAGGGATGCCGGAGCCACGCGAACGGCGGAGAGCCGAGTTGCTTCGGATTCGGTCTCAAGACCTCTCGCGAGACAGTCACCAAAGGACGTTGCCCCAAGGGCCTTCATGTGTGTGCATACCCAAAATGTGGGAAAACCCACCCGGCAGCAGAAAAGCAGATGCCCGAACACGAGACAAGTGACGTCCCTTGGGATCCCCTAAACCCCAAACCAATGAGACCTAATCCCTTGGACCCTAACCCTAAACCCTGAACTAATTCATGAAAACCAAACAGGAACCCCCTCAAAGTAGCCTTAGTCAGGTAGAAGGCCTCATGCTTTTCGTCATGGGTCTTCAAGGTTTAACAGAGGGTTGTTGGGGTTCTTGTTAAAAAGAGGTCATTGTAAGTTACCAGAATAAGCAATTCCGCCATTCCTGTTATTTATTGAAGGGTAATTTTGCAACTCGGCTCCTTAAGAAAATCCCTGTATGAGGGGGCTTCTGCAAGAATCTATTTCCGTAGATCAACCCTAAAGCCTAAACCCTAGAACCCTCAAACCCCAAACATACGACGCTCCAATTAATGTAACCGCCAACCAAGAATCAAGCAAGTAAACTCTGAATTCTAAACATCCCTAAACCCTAAACCCTTAAACTGCTTAAGCCTTAAATTATACCTCCTAAACCCTGACCCACTGCCTCCAAGGACCTTATAGTTAGGGCCCCAGACCCCTTGAGAACCCAACAATAGTAAGGTCCCTGGAAGCCTAAGGTAAACCCTCAAACAGGGAACTCCAGAAAGTTGGAATATGGATTAATGGTAGGATCCCCCTATAGTTTACCTTAAAGGGGTTACGATTAATGATATTCCAACTTTCTGGCTTCTACTGTAAGACGATAGTTACATTCTCAGGCGCTCCGCCTGCAAGGCTGCAGGGACACGGCGCCTTCGCCTTGGCACATGGTCGGTTTTTCATGTGAGTTGCTTGTAGGGGTTTAGGGTTTAGGGTCTGGGGTTCCATGAGTCTAACTTAGGGATTTAGGCTTAAGGGCTTAGGGAGGTGGGATTTGAGGATTAAGGCTAATGCTTTGCAGGGTGCATGATTTCCAAATCCGAATGTCGTGTTGTATGAGCGGCTTGGGGGTTTAGAGGCTTGGGTCTCCAGAAATGTCGAAGTCCCGTTTCCTTTAAGGTACAAAGTTCAGGGTGTACGTGCTGCTGTGGCAGCGTTCAATTTGCTTTGGCTTAGGGTTTCGGATCTGAGAGGGTCGTAGGGTGTGCTTATACCCCTAGGGTTTTACACCGGTACGGTGCTTGATGATAGAGGTTTTCCGGCACGCGGGAGTTTCGGTGGTCCGATAAACCTCGGCAGTTCTTCACTGCCAGTCACGGTTTATCCCTAAGGCTCCATGTGCCAGTATATACTTTGACCTGAAAGGAGTCCCCATGCAGGGACTCTGGGGCGGAAGTACATACTACGTGGGTACATGGACCCCGATAGGGTATATGGGATTGACGATTTACGACTTAGGGTTGTGTTGGGGATCTAGTTTTTGAATTGGGCTGACTTGTCTAAAGCCTCAAAAGCTGCAGCACAGGCCTGTGACCCAGGTACTTGAAGGATCATGGGACGTAGTAACTGCGGTTATCATCAGGGTAACTATTCTTACAACTACTTATAACCCTCAACCAAGGTACTTATATCCATACTTACTAAGTCCCGTGATCCTCCAAGTAAGACTTTGGAGAGAAGGTTTTGAGGTTATGAGCCTATAATGGTCCATGTACGCAAAAAGTACGCACATATTCTGTATATTTAGCAAACTCTGGGACCATAGTGTATAACTATGTGCGACGGCTGAAAGGCTTAAGTACATACTCCGATATGGGTGCATGGAGCTCATGGTTCCTGAACCCCAAAATACAGCTTTCAAGCTGGAGGTCACTTACTGGAAGGGTAGAAGGAGGGACCCTTAATAAGGATCCCTATAGGTATATACGCTTAATATAGCTATTATATACCCATTATATAGCCCATTATAGGGTAGGGGTCCCCATTAAGGGTCCCTCCTTTTCCCCTTTGACTTGCTGTAAGGGCTCTCCTGGCCGAGGTTTGGGCTTAGGGGCTTCAGGTTTAGGGTATATAGTTAGGGATCAAGGATGCCCAGAAGCAGTACAAACCCTAGAACATCCGTCAACGCTGCCTCATACCCTCAGATGACATACGAAAGTATCTAGCAAGCCAGTGCAACGAAGAAAAGGAACTGATAAACAACGAGGTCTTACCAGCAGGCTTTACACCAGCCGGCGCTGCCCACGGCAGGCACGGATGTTGTTGGTCGATCTTCCAGACCCTTAGCCCTCAGCCCTGAACCCGCAACCTTCAACCGCAAATCACACCCTGCACTAAATAGCCCCAAATCATTTATCCTTGAAATTCCACCCTGTGCACACCATTTCATCCTGTCTTCGTGAAGTAAGGGGTTGAGGATTTAGGGTTCCAAGATGTGTGGCTGCCGACTGCTCGATGCTCGACGCCGCGAACTCCGAAAAGGACCTCCTAGACCGAGCCACTGGAGCAGTCGATTGGCGCAAGCTGAACGTGTCGATGGAACTGCGATGTGCCAGATGGGCAAACCGGGATGATGTGGAGATGACGCTTGTGGCCATGCGATCTGCCATGGGCGGATGTCGTGCACTCAGGCATCTGCTGCTCCGTCGAGCAGGCCAGAAGTGGGATCGACAGCAGCAGTGCTTTGCGGCGGCAGGCAAGGCGCGAGATTGCCGAATTCTTTCTGCCCCGAAACTGACCATGGGCATTTTTCATTCGTTTTCGTGGAATCGTCGAGGCACCTCCATTGAGCCCTACCATCCCTCAGCCCCTGAACCTCGAAACTTACAAGCCCCGCTGCCTTACCCACATTGGGTGGTTGTCAACATTAGGGTTACTGTTTGGGTCCCTACTATAATACGGCACCTAATATGGGTAATTACCGAAAAAAGGGACCTTAATTTTGGCAACTACCCACATGGCAGACACCCTAAACAAGTCCCCAGCCCCAGCCGGTCACTTGGGAACCAGAAAGCTTTGCTGCATCGAGCCCTTCCTGCCTTGACCTGCAAGCCTACCGCAATAGCCATAGCAGAGCCCTTATAGACCCGTTGTCAAAGCCATAAACCCCTAAACCCCTGTAAACCCTAAGCCCCATACCCTAAGCCTTAAGCTCTAAACCCCTAAACCCTAAGCCCATGTTGAGCCGGGCAGTGAGACCTGGAGCCCCGCAATGATCCTCCAAGTAGCATTAACTCTAGTGTTGGAGATCTTTGACTGCGGTTGAAGGATATGGACCCCTATACTCCGCACCCTAAATGCTAAAACTTACTGAAGCCTGAAGTTGCCGAAGACTACTTTTCTACAGGATTTGTTTTTCTTGCAAAATACAAACACAGAATTTGCAGGGGCCCTTTTCATACCCTGAACCCTAGAACTCTAAAGCCGATGGAAGCAGGCAAAGCAGTAGCCCAACAGGCCCAACACCCAGAAAGGGTGATTCTCTAGGTAGAAACCTCTAAAACCCTAAGACCTAAACCTTAAGCTCTAGACTCTAAACCCTCAAACCCTAAAGCAACCCTAAAACCAACATCCTAAACCCTAAACAATGAGTTCTGAACCCTAAACTTTGTCATAGTTGGGCAACATTTTACATTTTTATGGGTACTTAAACCCAATAAGGAATAAGAAATGTATATTCTTAATCCTATCCCAACCATGAACTAGTAAACCTTAAATCCTCAACCCGTCCAGGCGAACCTCCGCAGGTTTGCGGCCTCTGCCTGGGCCTCATGGGGAGCCTGGCCGACGCGCAGGCGCCTAGGCTAAATGCGTTTGGGGAAGGTTTGTGGGGTTTAGGGCTTAACCCTATGCCTCCAGGGACCTCATTATGGGGTCCTTAAGGGGTCTAGGCCCCAACTATGAGGTCCTGGAGGGATAGGGTTAAGGTTTGGGGTTTAGGATCTAGGGTACTTGTTTGATTATGTTTGGGGTTTAGGGCTCAGGGAGTTGAGGGTTTAGAATTTAGGACGCTTGAAAGGGCCATACGGGCAACTGCCACGCTGTGCAGTGCTATCCGTGGTCTTACTTACCAATCCCCCTAAACCCTAAACCCTAAACCCTAAACCCTAAACCCTAAACCCTAAACCCTAAGAAAGTTGGCTCACATGAGGACCCAAGTTATGCTGCTGCTACGACAACGACGACGACTGCTACTACTTCTACTATATGTGCTGTCGAGGTCCGGCCCATACGGTTGATGATATAAATCCTGCATTACCCCAAGGACCCTACACTATGAGAATTTCGGTATATTCCTTTTATGGGTAGTGCAGGATTTATATCATCAACAGTAGTACCCTGAACCCCTTGATTATCTCTTTCCTTGACTCATTATAAACTCAACACTGAACCATCTGAACAGGATACCCAAACTGGGGTGTGGTAATGCAGCAATCTCTGGCCTATTCAGATTAATCTCATGTTAGGTTCTCTCTCTCTCTCTCTATCTATATATATAATATATATATATATATATATATATATCTATATATATATATACACACACATGATGATGACAATAGCTTCCCACAGCAGCAGTTCACGCAACGTCCCGCCAGCGCTTGTACTCTTCAAACAATCCTCAGCTTAGTGCAAAAAGCCTATAAGGGACGGCCAAAGAACGCTCAAGGCAAGCAACCTGGGAACAGACATAATTTCCGCCTTCAACCCATGAGCTACTCGGATGAGTGTTTAGAGTGCAGGGTTGCGGGTGTAAAGTGGCTCGTTCTTATTTCCTGTGTCTGTATTTTGGGCCTTGCCTTGCTCACGGGGCGGCTGGAGAATGGAGAAGGTACCCAAATCAGGACTGTTCCGTAAACATTCCACTTGCATCCTAAGTGAATCCTGTAATGCTCTTGCCGTGAAACCAAAAACCCTACAGATGCCAGGCGCAGCTGCGAGAGCTTCTCACGAAGGCCCGGTGTATCAGAGGAGAGGTGAAGCCTCGAAAAGCATGAACACAAGTCCCACGCAACCGTACAAGGCACCAGGCATGTCTTGAGCCCTGAACCCAATTTGTCTAAATCCGTTTTTGCAAAATGCGGGACTTGTAAGCATGCGCAGAGAGTAGCCACACTAAACCTTATTCCCTAGATCCGAAACCTTGACCTAGAAAGGATGTGCAGCGGAGGCCATGCGCAAACCAGCATATAGATTTCAGCCCGCTGTCTTTAGTTCGGAGAAGTGGAGTGCGAACTCGAGGTTTTGTTCAAGCAGAAGCCTGAATAGTTACCAAGGTTTAATTGGGTTTAGCGTTAATTAAGGAAGACCGCTAAGACTGCCCCATAAACCCTAAACCTTTCGAAGATTATTTCCTTACAGCTCTTATCTGATTCTAGAGTCCATAAGTCTGGAGTCTAGATTTTACGGCTTCAGATCTTGGGGGTGTAGGGTTTAGGGCTCGTGATCCCGGAGCTGATAACCTTATGGGTCGATACACCCATATAGTCTATACTTTTTCGCCCCAATACTAGCTGTATAGAGCCATTTTGGGGGTCGATGTACTCATGTAGTCTATACTTTTCCGCCTTAGAACTACCTGTAGTCGATGTATTCATATAGTCTATAATTCTCGCTTGAAAAGTACCTGTGTAGGGATTTCGGGCCAAAGTACCTACTGCATGGGTGCATGGACCCTTTGAGGGGTATTCCCCCCCTGGTTCCTGGGCCTCCAAACCCCGCGGAACTCGTCCCGGGGGAGATTCCTTGGGGCCTCACGGCGGCTCAGGGTTTATGGATTGCCTGATTACTTAGAGGATCATGGGACTTAGTAAGTATGGTTATAAGGTACCTTAATTAGGGTTATAAGTAGCTATAAGTATAGTTACCACGGTTCACCCTAAGGCTCCTAAGAGGGTCATGGGCTTTCTCGGGGAGGGTTTGGGCTTTGGGGGCTGAGGCTTGGGATCTCACTACAAGGGTCTTTGAACCTTAGGGCCACATTTAGGTTGAGTGGGTTTTGGGGTTTAAGGTTTCAGGTTTACTAGATCTAAGGTTCAGGGTTTAGGGTTCAGGGAGCACGTCCGCAAATCGTATTCGGCAAGCAGATCTTCTGATATGAACCCAAGACAATAAGAGTGATTTCTTTCACGAAGTGGCACAAGTGTCAACAAACATGCACTGGGAGAATGCTACCGGCGAGAGCAGGACTGCCTCGGGACGAAAAGAGCTGATATCAACATGCAACAAAGGTTGTTGATCATCGATTACCGACCTCCGACCCCAAGATCTTCAATGTGGCTGTACATAAGTGAGCTGCAGACATGCACTGTTCTTCTAGTTCAGGGTCCTTATGGCGAGAGCGACCCGAACAGGAGCCTTAGTTTGTGAAGAGAACTGCCCATGGTTGTGCGTGTGCGTGTGTGTGTGTGTGTTTAAAGAAATTCGCACATACACACTCATCTACACAGGTATGCGGGCAGAGTTTTGAAATATGCAGAGCTGTTCGATGTTGTGTGAGAGAGCTTCACCACGGCGAAAAGCCTAAAGCCTTGAACCTTACTTGTCCCCGCTTGGGCATTTAGACTCTTATTAGGGGCTGGCTTTCGTACTCGCAGGCGCCGGCGGTGGAGGCGAAATACTACAAGCCCGGAATGCCCAGATTCTCTCTGGGTTCAAGTCATGGGCGCCTCAACAGTCTTAGAAGTTATCGCGGTGATTTTGCAGATGCCTGTCCGCGTTCACAGAGCTTTAGTCAGCAGTGTCAAAAGTGTTTAAGAAAAGGTTTTCGTTTGCCAGGCTCTTGCAACCCCAGGGCTACAAGGACTTATATATCAAGGCTTTCGTGCCCAAAGACCATACTTCATAAGGCTTTTGGGCTAGTTCGATCCATAGGGTTTCTAATGCGGTGCATAGAAGTTTGTGGTGTGCTGCGCCGGCTGGAGGTCTAATGATTCACTGTAGAGCAAGGGTCTGGGGAGTACGGTTAAGCCTTTATAACAGCTCATCTTTATTGTTATGATATCATCCTTTCTTCAACTTGTTTGTTGTTTTACAAGGGGGGCGTGCGGTAGAGCAGCTTAAAAATTCTAGCGTCGTGGGAAAGACAACTGTTGCTGAAGTTTGAAGCCTGCTGCTATCGAAGTGGGGTGTTTCTCTAATCCTCGAGATCCTTGACACAAATGCTCTTAACCCAAGATATAATCCAAATCACCTGGTTTGGCATACCAGAGATTATACGGGCCTGTAGAAAGCAGGTTCTGGTAGGCTTAGGTCAGCCCTAGACACCTATCTTGCTTCGCTCTGTGAAGCTGTTTGAGGAAGTTCAGGGTTTGGGGCTTTGCATATATCGAGCCGGTTCCAATGGCTCGCAAGACTGCAGATGGTTCTTCAGTACCGACAGAACTCAGTTCTCGACCCAAGCAATGACCTGATCCTGACTTCAAGCTCCAAAACAGGGAGTACGCACAGCAATGTAGCATGTCAGGGGCTATGTTGTGAAGTCGGGACCCTGAGTCAAAAGCCCTGGCAACACAAAGCCTACACCGAAGAAGCTCAAAGACCTTGAAGAACGGTGGTCCTTGTCCAGGTCCCAAATGCTGTACTCTGAATGGGCGGTCTGGGGTTTGGGGGTCCGGGTCGGTGCCTAGCTTCCGACTACCTAAGTATTGGGGCTCTCTAGATTGCGGAAACTTTCTGTCTAAAGCCGGATCACTTCTGAGGTTGAATGTGTCCACACCCGCCTGCTGCGTGCTGCGGCAGCGACTCAGCTGCCCCAAGAGGGTTCAGAGGTCAGACTATGAGGGGTTTTGAGCTTTATAAGGTTTTGGGTTCGGGGTGTTTTAGGCGTTATCTGTTTTGGGTTGAGCGAATGGGAAGCCACGAAGCAACTAATCTCCCGGCAGGTGTAGAACTGGATAGGCTTGAAGTGCTCAGGGTTTTAAAGAGCGATCTCGGCGGAGTCGGGTAGGGTTTGGGATGCGTCGCTCGGCCGCGTTCATTGCCGACTTGACACACCACCGATCCGTTTATCTTATGCCAACCCCTTTGGCAGGCTTTTAAACGAATCGTTACTTCAAGCACAAGTAAGCCGCCCGTCAAGTCTGCTGCGGAATACTCCTTGCCAGTATACATGGCAGACTTGACTAGAAAAAGCGACATTCCATGTCCCTTTTCCCCTTACATGCAGTTGCCTACCCCATTTTGTGCAGATGGCCACCAGCTGAGATTGCTGGAGCATCTGTTCCACCTTAATATAGTTGTCGGCTCCCACACTACGCTTGGAAGAAGTTGTGCGACCTGCATCTTGCGACTTCCTGAGTTTGATCGGACCCTATCGATGCATGCATGAAGAGGCGATGATCTAGTTGAGCACTTGCGGTGCTCGTGGAAGGGAAGTTCTGCTTGGCATATAGAGAAGAAGTCGTAGTCTGTGGCATTGGAGCATCTGGGTATCTGCTCCCATCGTTCGCGGCAGTGTCGGAAAGTCGGCAACGCTTGCTGATTGGAGCACCAGCAAGTATCTTCTGCTGCTGGTGCAGTCAGCCGTGGTACCTCACACCCTGTTGAGTTGCGTTTTCGCCGCATTCGCTGTGGCCGTGGCTTCGTTTTGCATGAGTGTGCGCACTGAGAGCTTGCTGGTCTGAAAGGCCTTCCCTCATCCATAGATGGAGACCAATGGACCAAACCATAGAGCCTCAAGTGCGTGACGGGGTTTATGGAAGTGCTCTACTGCTTGGGTGACTGTTCGTTGTAGCTTGAGCCCTACCCACAGGGAGTTGCTGCACCGCAACCCCTGCACACTGTTACTGTTGGCCGAGTGTGAGGGCAGGTGTGGGTCGGTGTTAGGGCTGCCATCCATGCGCGATAGCCACTGGCTCACTCCGCGAGAGCAGTTCCCTGATGGCCAACGTGTCCAGGTGCAGGACGCATGACAGCGGGACAAATGGGCTAACGTGCCTGCTGGGGGACTTGCCGTCAACGGACGGCGAGCCAACACCGTCCCTGTGGAGAAGGGGAGGCCTTCGCTGAATCTGAGGAGTGAGCACTATGTACCGGCAGTGTCGTTGGTCATTCAGTCAGAGTCAGTCTTCGATATGCAAAATATTACGCAAGGCCATGTCAATTGACAGGTACTGGGAACCATCATGTAACTCAGGTACGCAAGTGATCGCCCATGGATTTGCACTGCACCTTTGTCACTTCAGTTTATTCAGCGGATAGTGTAAGCTCGCGGCCCCGTGGCTGGTTACCAGATACTAGTACAATGTTGGGAATGACTGCTCGAAAACATCAGCCGTCATTAATCCTGAAACCAAACCCTAACCCCTGAACAAAAAGTTCCCGGCAATGTCCGGCCACACCGCTTTCAAAAGTGTTCTGGATATTCCAAGCGCTGTGTTCATAGCCTGGGCGGTGCAGTTGTGATTCTTCACGTGATCGGGAGAAGGAATGTGATGCGTTGGAGCGTGTACTACAAGACTATCGTATAAATGAGTATATTCGAGCCAAACTCAGAGTCAAGAACTATCTTTATTCCATTCTTCCGAGCCAGAAACGAGAGCCTCTATTGTTGGTCTCAGTGCGTCTATTCTGAGCCAAGCTCAGCCCTTCTCCGGATAACTCCGGTCTCAGCTGAGCCACACTCAAGAGATTACTTGGAGGGGCAGGGGACTTTGCAAGTAGGTTATAAGTAGGGTTATAATTGCGGTAACTCCATTTAGGGTACTTACAGCTCCACTTATAACCTACTTACTAAGTCCCCTGCCCTTCCAAGTAGGAGGGCTACTTCATAACAAGGCTGTCTCCTTGGCTCGAATTGGCGCCAAACTCGGCCGTCCGCTACCCTAAGGGTCCAAGTACCCAAATAGTAGGGTTTCAGAGTCCAAAAACCATTGAGAGTATGGATTTTGGGAGCGAAAACCCTACTATTTGGGTATTTGGACCCTCTGGGCTAGAAAACTTGGGTCCAGTTTGAGCCAGACCCAAGAGCTGGAACCCCCGAATCGAAGCGTCACTCGAATTGTCGCGCCGCGTCGATTTTTCGAGCCAAGCGGTTTGAATTCAGCCAGAATCAAAAATTAAGAGCCTCAGATGCAAAAGCTAGGGCAGGAGACCCTCCCTCTGGGATTATGAACGAGAAAGGGATTAAAGGTCCGCCGGCACGCCCTCTACTTGTGAACTTTACCACCCTCGCCCTAAGCTAAAGCAGGAAACTCCACGCCCTGCGAGCATTGAACTCAGAATTGGCGAACCCCGGTCCTACACCTCACACCCTAACCTGAATCCCGGACCCCAAACTTTATCCTGGGGCTCAGGCAAGTGCTGCTGACGCATGCCAACTCCATTTCCGAGGACCAACAATCACTAACATACAAGCATGAGTAAGTAAAGAACGAACATCATTCTCTGGGTTCCCGAACATGTATTTGTGTGTGTGTGTGGGGTTTTGACTTTCCGTAATAATTACCAGTCCAACCAGTACGGCTTCTAGATTACATCCGAAGTTCTTGAGGGTCCAAGTACCCTGAAGTTACAGAAGTTGTTTTTTCTCATCGAGGTTGTACTAGTAACTTCGAGGGCTGGAAGGGTAGGGGGGATATCCGAAGAAGCCTGCTTTCGGTACCATAACATGGATACATGTCATAGTTCAAGGTTTTGGCTGTTTTAGGACGGTATGGCTCCTTGTGCCGGAGCTCCAACATCTGTTGTGCTGCTCACCTTCTTGAGGAAGCAAAGGTAAAGCCAGGTACCGTCGTGAGCCCAAGAGTCACAGTCAAGCAACAAAGATCCCAAACCTAGCAGTAGAGTAGGTAACCTTTACCCTTTTTTGAGTAGTATAGTCCCTATATTAATCCCTATATAACCAAAGAGGCTAACCTTTAGTTCCCCATGATACCCGACAAGTAGGCAAAACTTGAACCCTTGAACCGAAGCCTACGACTACGAGCCACATCTCAAAATGGAACCCTCCTTTGTGAATCCTATATCTTGGGCACCGCCTCACTCTGTCACAGTTAGTTAGATCGTGTTTAAAGTATTATCACTACATATAGTCCCCCAAAATGACCCTTAATATATGTAGACTAGTCTAAACAAGAAAGAAACTGTACAGAGAGGGACAGTGCTACTAAGGGACGTGCGGCTTCATCTTCGGTTCAGGTGCCTGGCTTTATTTGAGGGGTGGTGGGCCTTGCAACCAAGCAGACTGTGAGGGGCACGACTGTAAGGTGTACATACTGTGCCGTCCACAGGCCAGTTAGCAAGTCCCCTGATCCTCCCCTAGACCCTAAGATAAACACTAAACCCCTAAACCCTAAACCTTAGTGTAAGCCGAGGCGATGTACACGCTGGAGGAGCTGCCCGCGACAAAGGACCTGGTGATGTTGATCGTCTACGTGACCAGCCAGCTCTTCTACAAGGTGACCACATACATGATGATGGTGCTGGTGACTATGTTCCTGGACCTGCAGAAAATGAGGTTGTCACTGGGAATGTCTTGAACGCCTTAGTACAAGTTGATGACCAATGGCTCTCCATCAGCACTCTATTGGATTGGCTTGCACAACAAGGTGAACTTCCGTGGCTACCCTTAGAAGACCTGGTGCATCATGCCGCTATGAGCTACAGGGAAGCACTACATGAACAACGAGCACTTCTCTCCGCAGCACGTGAACGTCGCCAAGGGATGGTACAACGATGGGGACAGTGGCGAGATGGTGTTGATCGGTGGCACAACAGGGATGGTACAAAGCGAAACAACAATGTGGGAACTTCGTGGACTACCTCTTCGTCCAGCACAGACCCTATGCCTACCCAGACACATGGAGATGGAACTATGTCCTCTACATCCTCTTCTTCGACGTCGCGTGGGTTCTACAAACAGGGAGTATGGCAACACAGGGAACGCACGGAAGAGGAGGCCAAGAAGCACTTCGGGGGACAAGGCAAAGCGAGACTAGACAAGCGAGCTGCCCGTTTTGATGAGTGGGCGAAAGGTCAGTGGATCCCGGGATGGCTTCGACAATATCAGCAAGACAAGGCCAAACGTGAAGCTGACCGGGAACACAAGGAGAACAAGACCGAGGCCAACGACACTGAGGACAACGGGATGATGCAGCTGGAGGGGGAACTGTTTTCCCTTATGGAACAACCTGGCATCACAGGGCAGGAGCGTGCAGCTCTAACGGCCGAGGGAGTTCCAACTATATTTCAGAGGCGCCTGGAGGAAATCATGCGGAGATATTTCTACTACAAGTCTACAGATAGGGGCGCTGAAGCTCGCTGGGCACTTTCGAGTTGGCTCGCGCAAAGCATGCACGCGACCACCCTCCAGGATGTCGCGGAACGTCCAGTCTTAGATCGCTCTCGTGAACCAGGCTGCCTTCCTCTTCGGCGAGAACCACCACAGGACAGCGCTCTGAGGAGGGAACTACTTGAATGGACAGATGAGTTGACGGAGCTGATGTCTGATGTCTTCGAGTACGGCCTGGTTATATCTCGACCGGACCGTGTGGCAAATGCTGGGCGTCAAGGCGGCTCCACAGGATCGGGAACTCGCTCACGAAGTCCTCCACCACGTGGATCCTTGGGTCATAACACTGATGGTGATGCCTCCTCATTGATGGACTTGGGGAACTCTCGTCGCCGGCGTCATGGAGCAGAAGGGGAAACACTTGAAGAAGAAGAGACTTTTGGTGCTCATTCTGCTGCTTCGTCGGGCAATGTGACTGGTGAAGCACCTGTCCCACCAGCGATCCTTGGGCCGCTGAATTTGAGCGCCCTGCACAACGAGGAGCAGCAGATGGAAACATGTTTGGAGGCTGAAAACAACCATGCGAGCCGGGCCTACACTATCCATCGTGCAGTACGTGAAGCTATGTATTTGCCCAATGCAGGGACCTCTCGGGAAATTGCTCGGCGACTACTTGCACGTCAAGACTACATCGTGGAGGTGCACTTCTGGTTACAACAGGCACTACAACGAGTCCTACGTACTTGCCCCCGGGGGAAAGTTCGGTTGACTGGAACATGGCAAGGGACATGGAGCACAATATTTGGGTGGCCGTGCTTGGGGAAAGTGCAGATGAGCCGATGGTGGAGGCTCTACGTCAACATGTTGCTCAACGCCTACGTGAACGAGAGAGTATGCTTGAGGAGCTTGAGGAGTCCACTGGGAGAGACAGCAGCCATCCTGCTGGTACAAGCCGTCCTACTGGTACAAGCTCTGGAGCACATGGTCGTCCTTCTCCTTACCACCCTAGTCGTGCCCCAAACCGCCGTGCACCTCGTGATGTGGGACCTCTTCGAGCTAGTGACCGACCTGTAGACACAGCACCGACCACGGCTGGTGGAGATCGTGGTGCTGCCGAAGGAGAAGTTGGACATGGTCTTCCTGCAGTTGCTCCTAATCCTGGACATGCCCCACCAGCTGGACATGACCTTCGTGACCCTGCACCTGAAGAACATGAGACAGTCTACGATGGTTCGTTGTCTTCCCTCAACCGTCCACGACCGACGATGGCTGCACATCTTCGTCCACGAGCAACCCCGGATGAACCTGAACGTGATTCGCGTCCTCGTCCAGTATCTCAAGATGAAGGTGATGTGACGGAAGATGAGGATGAGGTGTTTGACGACGAGAATGATGTGGGTGAGTGATCAATGGTGCTTTGAGGGCTCTGTTGGTACCCGCTCTTTCAGTTCGTTGAGTCTGTGTCTGGTCAATTTGCCGATGTGGTGGGAGAGACTTTCTGATCTTCTTCGATGGCTGGTTTCTGCACTTTCTCTCTGCGGATTTGGAGGGTGACTTCCAGTTCTTTGACTTCGTCTTCGGTAGTGTTTCACTCTAGTGTACGCTCGTAGTAGCAGGAGCCGCCAGGTAACCATTACACTTTAAAAAAAAACCTTAGGCTCTAATGGCGCAGGAGCTGGCGAAGTCCATTGTGGAACCTCAGGCGGGCGCGGAAGCCTTGGCCGTCGGGGGGCTTTCATGCAGCGTCACGGCCCTAGCAAGGAATATTGTCTTGCAAAGGCTTTTGAAATGCTGCTAAGCGCTTAGCAGTTTAGCGGGTTTTGTAAAGATGCCGTACGAACTACATAGAGCTTAGAACAAGGTTATGGCCTGTAGTATGGTATGGAAAGACAGAGCGCGACACATAAACCTAATGTCTAGGTGCCCAGCAGCAGCACCAGTTGAAGGATCAGGGGACCTCGTGTTCGATGCCTTGTGGTCAAGAGCATGCTTAGGAGTTTGAAGCCATGCTTGGAAGATCAGGTTTTCGCAAGTAGGCCTGAGTTGGGGCTACACCCCCTGGGGATCAAAATAGCCCAAGAGCCTTCCATAGTATGGTCCTTGGGCCCGAAAGCCTTTATATATGGGTCCTTATAGAGCCCTAAGGAAGTACCCTAACTAAGCTTGTCGAACATGGAGTGTTTCTTGGCCAACCTAGTTGCCAAGTCCTCGTATCCTTCGAGACTCTCGCCAAGACTTCGCTTCGTACATAGAGGGCTTAGAGTTGTGGGTGGGACCTTAAACTAGGACCCCCCAAGTGCCCCTTAATAGAACCCTTACGGCCCCATGGCCCTTAATAGTGGGTATTTAAGGTGTATTAGAGGGTAGTTGGGGGGTCTACCTGGAGGATCACGGGACTTAGTAAGTTATAAGTACGTTATTTAGGGTTAATTTTATGTAACCATAAGTATAGTTACCTTAGCAATAACCCTAGTTACAAAGTCCCATGATCCTTTGAGTAGGAAGGGCTGGCAGTCAAACCAGCAGCCTCGGTGGGTTGTTGACCACCTGCGCGACGGTGCCCTGATTGCAGGATGTTCTCCGGTGGATCCTCCAAGAAGAGCTAGGAGTCACATGCTGTCAGGGTGCATTGTTGAGGTCTGGGTTCCTGTGGTTGGGCTGCGGGTTACTGGTTTCAAGGGCTTTTGGCTAAACCCTGAACCCTAATCGGGACCAAGCGAAAGATCTGATTCTTCTCTGTTCGCCAGTGCTATGTCCTACCTTAACCCTGAATAACCTACCCTTTTAGGGCTCCTTATTATGATTTCCTTATATAGGTCCCTACAAAGGTAGGTTCTTCAGGGTTAAGGTAAGTCTTAGGTCAGTGCGCGGCACGGTCTCCCGAATTGGGTTTCAGTCTTAGTCTTGGGACGTGGGGGGGGGGGGGGATGAAAATGGGACATTATAGGGGCACACGTAATTGCCAATATTAGCTTGAATTTAGTGGGGTTCCTTATTGTATCTATAGTATAATATACCTGAAGGCCCTATTCTACAGATTTATTCCCCTATAGTATACATGTGTGCTGAGGGTCTTTCGGTTGCTGAGCGTGACGATTGACCGATCTTGATTTCAGGGGGTGTAGACTTCAACCTTTCTAACTGGGATGCAATACTTATTTTAGACTTTAGGGGTTTAGGGCTATGCAAACCACAGCCACAACCACAACCACTGCCACGACAACAGACAACACCACCAGTCACAACATCAAGCAACAGCACGCAACAGCAACAGCAAGACACCCTGATCTGTTTGTATGGCTAAAGCCCCACCTAAGCCCCAGTGACACTGCAGGAGCACATGGGCTTTCCCCGGTGGAAGGGCAGAAGGAGGACTGCACAGCCAGACCTGCAACTGTAAGCGGGTATAGGTTTAGAGCTGAGAGTGGCAGCTGCACCCCTTACGATTTAAAGCCTTATAAACCTTAAACGCGGAGCCCGAGAACCTACACCCTGAACACCCAGCTTTAAGCCCCAAACTGTCGCCAAGTCCCAAAGCCCTACAGCTCTAGAACCCTAAAGTTCCCAGCCCTGAAGCCCTGCGCCCCATCCCCAATCGCTACAACACGGTTTTAGGGTTTAGGATTTAGGGTTTAGGATTTAGGGTTTAGGGTTTAGGGTTTAGGCATGACGCACCCTGGGGCAATAAAACTCCAGACCTTGACTCAGCGGATCTAAGGACTCGTATCTTGAGGAGTTTTAAACCTCCTCCACGAACAGCGCAGAAGCTTTAAAGCCCACGATGCCCGAGCCCTAGCTTATAAGCCGGCAAAGGCTATCAATTAGTAACCCTAAGGGTCCAAGTACCCAAATAGTAGGGTTTCAAGGTCCAAAAGCCGTTCAGAGTATGGTTTTTGGGACCCAAAACCCCACTATTTGGGAACTTGGACCCTCTGGGGTAAGTCATTTGCACGGTTTATACCAAGACCTTGCAACTACATGGTTTGCGGTGGGTGAAGCTAAGGACATATTCAAGGATTATAGTGCTTCCAGGGGTCGGTGACGGTGAGGAGTACGAGTATGAAGTTTGAGTATTAATTAATTTGGTTTCAGGCATTTCTCAACTGCGGCCCACTTCAAGTGAGTAGTCAGCCACCCGACCTCCGTCACTCCGTGAACTCAGCAGTGCCAATTTCAAGCAGTCCGAAAAGTGATGTTCCCAAGCATCTACAAATTTACACGCGCATGCCATGCCACAATACCATGTATAGTAACACCAGGGCCGTTCCTTTACTTAGAGGGGCAGGGGACTTAGTAAGCAGGTTATAAGTAGGAAATAAATGGGGTGACTCCATTTAGGGTACTTATAACTCTACTTATAGCCTTCCTACTAAGTCCTCTGCCCCTCCAAGTACGAGTACCCTAAACCCTAAAACCCTGAGCCCTGAAATCCTATAGCCTAAACCCTGCAAAGTGTTCTGAAGGAGCCGCAACCTGCTGCCGTGGCGGCTCTCGATGTCACCGGTGGGGCCTCTGGCGTTCAAGGGCTCGTTTTTAAAGGGATCTAACTAGGCAAAAGAGGAGTTAAAGGATCATGGCATCCTTTCAAGGAAATTAGGGTTTAGGGTTTAAGGTTTCGGGCTTAGGGTTACCGGTTTAGGGTTTAGGGTTTGGGGCGATAGGTTTTTGGGTGTTTGATGCACCGGCGGTGCTGGATCTGAGGGCCTGGCTGTGACATCGTCAGCTTCGTGGGATGACGGATGATGACGCTAATGTAGGGGCCTTAACAATTACCTACACTATTTTGGGGGTTCCTCATTGTAACTATAGTATAATGGGCCCAAAACCCTATTCTAAGTATTGAGGCCCCTATATTAAGGCAGTGAAGGCTAGAATCCCAGAGCTGGGTTCTGTGGCTTCTTTACCATACACCCTGCGAGTACCGAAGAAAAAGCCCCCCCATAAAGCCCCAAAGTGCAGAAACCGCTAGAAACTACCCATAGGCTCCATAGTAGTTCCTTTTTGGGATTACCTGATAGAATTCTATATATGAACCCCTAAAAAGGAGCCACTGTGGAGCCCATGGGCATGCAACACCCTAAACCCCCAAAACCCTAGAGATCCCTTTAATGGAACCCTTATAGATCCCTTTAAAGGAACCCTTTCAGATCGCTTTAAAGGAATGAACCCTTATAGATCCCTTTAAAGGCCTATGGCTAAGAGCGCATGGGTATGCAACGCCCATGCAGGTGAGTACCAGGGCCCTGCTGCAGAAGCGATGAGGTCCGAAGCGTTCACCTCCTCACAATCATGGGGATTATTAGGGGAGGGGGAGGGGGGAGGGGGGTAGGGACTATACTTCCTTAAATCGGGCTTATGAAGTCCTGATTATGGGCCCCCTAAGGGTCCCTATGATGGGGTTTTGCACGTTTTCGTTTTGTGTTGTGGGGCTTGTAAGGGTTCTGCGGAGTTTAGCAGGGGTTTCTTCATGTAAGAGTGCGCCTTTCCTTTTTCTCTGAAACTCCCAAACCTGATGGGTGCTGTAGGGTTCAGGGTTTTGGGTTCAGGTGGCAGTTTCTGGGAGTCTAGGGCCTCAGACCTTAAGGCTGCAGCGTGCGAGCTCTGATGGACTATCTGGGGGCACCTTGAGAGGTTTGTTGGTTTGCATTTATTGTTGCGCTCGCAGGTCGAGTCCGATAAGACAGCTGTATACTGTATGCCTCTTGTCACATGATGTTGAGGATGGACTTGCAAGCCTTGTCTGGAACGCGGGTCCTATTGGACAAGTTCTTGTCCTATCAACTGCAATGACCAGGAAGATCACCTACCTAATGTGAAGATGAAGAAGAAAATCGACATGTCAAATGCCTATGCTCCAGAGTCCTCACGGCAATTCAGGACTCAGGCATACTGCGTTTACCGCGTTGCCACCAGTTTGTGGTTGGGGGTTCTGCCTGGGCAGCACTAGAAAAAAAACACACCGCCCTGAGACGTCATGAGCACCCAATCTTTGGAAGAAACACAGTTTGTGCATGTGCTGATCACCAACCCTAAGGCTCCATGTATCCTTATAGTATATACTTAGGCCTTAAAGTACCTATATAGATACCTCTTTAAGGCTTAAGTATCTACTATAAAGGTACATGGAGCCTTTGGGCAAGCCTTATCCCAGCCACGTGCTGTGACCGCAGACCGAAGTTTCTGGCGAAAAATACTATTCTAGGTAGGGATTTGGGACATTTTATATTTTCCCTTATTGGGTTTAAGAGGATCTTATTTACTAATATTTTTCAAAGGCCTTAAAAGCCCCACCTAGTATTACAGAAAGGACACAGATGCCGTTGGCGCAAGAAGGCTGGTGGATTTGGAAGGATCTCCTAGAACGCCCGGATGGGGCCCCGCTTGGCAGAACTCCTTACCATGAATCTTCGGCAGGCCAGGCCCATGTCCACTGTGTAAGCACTTGTCCTACTCGTGCTTGCTTAATGCAACTTACATAAAGCCCAGGCCCTATAAAGCCTGCTTACGTATTTTTTAGGGTGACCATATAAGTAAGGGTTAGCAGCAAGGGGGTCGCGAGGGGTTACTATAAGGGTTCTATCGTGGTTCCGCTTTGTGCAGCACGCAGGTCGCTGATCAATCCGACCCAAAGGCTGGCGTCGGGTTGGCCCATGCGGTTTTAGGGTTTTCAGGGTTTTGGCCTGTTGGAGTTTTGGTCTTAGGGCTTCGAGGGTATAAGGCTGTTGCAGCTGTGGTATTAGGGCTTTCAGGGTTTAGGGCTTTCTGGAAGGGTTGAGGGTTTGGGGGTTGAGGTTGAGTGTCTAAGGCTTGATCGGATTTCTGGCTGGTTTTCGGAAAATTTGAAGTTGAAGAGCACGGCCACCGTCGGACGCCAAGCCTTGTCGTTCCACTATCACGAATATGTCCGAGAACACAGACCTCAGTATGATTTAGTTTACAATCACCCGTTATGAAACAGTTTATGGGGCCTCAAACCCTAACACCTACTGTCACGTTGGATGAACTGTAATTGTGTGGTCGTTGCTGTTCTTGGTGTTATTGGTGTGATTGTTGTTATGATCATCACTTCTGTTAATAGCTTTGTAGAAGTAGGTGCATTTCAGGCGTCGGGTGTGTTTTTGTTGTGAATGGCTCATGATGTCCTTCGGCAAGAGATGCCGAAGCCATCAAGCAGACCAACAAGTCTGAAGCCCTAGTTGGGCAGAGCTCCAATCGAAGTCTTAAGTTTCGGCAACTTGCATGCCCAAAGGGTCCTAAGTACCTACACAATGAGAAGTGGGTTTTTCCTATAGTAGGAAACATTATTATGGTGCGGGTAAGTATGGCCGATATGGGTATTTAGCACCCTCTTGGATGCTTAGAGATTTGGGTGCGGTTCTTGGTGGAGCGACGAAGAGTCGAAAGAACCCTTTTCGTTGCTATCTCGCAACCCCTCAAAGGCTAAGCCGGATACCCTGCAGCAGGTATGTTCATGTCGTTTTCCAGGCCCCACAACATCTCCTTTCCAACCCAGCCAAAAAGCCAATCTAATTGGAAACCCTCAATGCCCAGCCCAGAGAAACAACACAAGACCAGTTAGGGGGGGCTTGGACCCGAGGCCATGAGAAACCGAGCTCTCAGCCCTACAAAAACCCGTGCGATCTCCCGAAACACGCTTCAAATGTAGCAGGAACCTGAACATGGTTGAAAGCCATTCCTTAACCAGGCGGTTGCCATCTCTGGGCACCCTATAAGCACTATATCCTAAGTCCTTCATAGAAGCCCTTAAAGGAACCCATGAAGGATCCCTTGAAAGCGCCGAACTCCAAAGCGATGGCGCGGCATTCCCGCGGCCTCGTCGCCTCTGCTGCGCTGCTTCTCGCGTCCTCGACCTTGTTCGCCGGACTCTTACTGTGCAGTTTAGGGTTTCGGCTGCACCCTAAATCCTAAAACTGTAGCTACTTGGGGTCTGAGATTATTAGCAGTTCGTACTTGGGGAGATGGCAGAGGCTATGAGTGCAAGATGGTTCAGGGTGTGGAGTTTAGGGCTTAGGGTCTTGAAGTTGTAGGTTTCTTGGGTTGGCTCGGGTTCAGGAGACAAGGTCCGGCATTCATCATAGAGCCAGGAGGCTTCACTGGGTCTCTAAAGGAGTGTCGGGCTTTGACGTTTCGGGCTTGTGGTCTAGGGATTCAGGGTTTCGGGCTGTTGGTTTGAACTTTTACACTCGGCCTTAGGACAAAGAGGCTCAGAGGGTCCAGTCTGGGGTTAAGCCGACAAAGGCAGCAAGGGGGCGAGGTAGGCATGCGCAGGATCGAGGTCAATGTCGTTCTTTCATCGTATCGACCTTGGAATTGTGCAGATCGGAGTGTTCATCTTTTTTCCTTCAAGATGCTGTGTGTGTGTGTGTTTGTCGGTGTAGTTCAACACCATTCAACAACTCTAAGCTGTCCTAGTCGAGCCCCGATTAAACCTTAAGCGCCCTGCTTGGATCACGGTCTTACTTTAAAGGACCTGTGATGCAAAAAAACTCTTCGAAAACCCTACAACTGAAGGCAATCGAAACTTAAAGTCAGAACAGCTATGCCATGTTTTGCTTGGCCAGGCCCTAAACCCTGTTGACCGTGAACTGAAAACCCAAACCCTACACCCTCAAAAACGCCTTAAACCCTATAAACCTTGAGTTCTATAACCCTAAGCTGACGTCCAAAGTCAGACCTTGGCCATATGAACCCTGAAGTAAGCCTTAAACCTTCAAGCCCAACTCGCCTCTAATGTACCACCATTAAGGGCCGAAAGGGCTCTATAAAGAGGCACTTTTGGGGGTCCTGGTAGGCCCCAAATCCAGAGCTAAATCTCTAAGCCGACGTCCAAAGTCAGACCTAGGCCAGTTCCTGGCGCTACTGCTTTGCTGTTGTGGACTGGCGGGCGGCCCACCCGGAGGAGGGACGAAGCGCCTTTTCTGCCCGTCATGTGTAGCATGTTAGAATGTATGTATGTATGTATGAACGTATATACAAAATATATATATATATATAATACAATATATATATACATATACATATACATAACTCTCTTTTAATTAATGTACACACACACATAATGCAACATTCGCAGCAGGCACCGCAGATAGAAGGAAGGAGGGTTCGGGGCTCTTGATAGAGTTCTGCAAGGGTTTCATAATGAATTGAAAGGTCAGTATCAAGGTTTGTGATTTGGGAGGGTGTAGATAGAGCTCCTTGAAAATATTGGTGAATGAATGTATAGAGTATAAGGCTGACAATTATGCGGGCGCACTCGTAGTGAGACACTGCATAGGTCCAACATACAGACATGTCTCATGGGGATGGCGTCTTGGAAGTTCCTTTGCATTAAGAGCTCGTGGCCGGGTTCCTGGCACTTCCTCCGAAACTCTCCGCCCAACTTGCGGGTCGCGTCAAGCTTATCCTTAAGCAAACATCCCTGAATCCAATTCTGAACCTCGAGCCTTCACCCCTCTCCCATCTCAGTCCATTTCAAGCCCTCAAACCCTCGACTCTCAACCTCACCCCCGAAACCCTGAGCCCTAAACTTCCGAAACCCCCTGCAAAGCTTGCTGCACTCGTCGAGGTGCCATGGAAGTTGTGGAGTTGCAGCTCCGGGCCTTACAAGAGAAGCTTGTCTTTCTATCAGTCCGGGCTTAGGGTTTTTGGTTGGTGCGATTTAAGGGCCAATTTCGGTTTAGGGGGGTCCTTAAACCCTAAACCCTGAAACCTTAAGCCCTAAACACCAAACCCCAAACCCCTAAACCCTTGACCCTAAATCGCTTTTTCGCAAGTTGTTACCCGGTCCTGCTGTCTAAAGAACCTAAAGGCGCAAAGGTTTACCGAGGCCTTACCAGCAGGCGTGTTTCCATTGAGTCGATGAAGGTTTGGGGCTACTGAGATTAGCTTTTTAAAGGTCTGGGGTGTCGTCCGACCCTACACCCTACCTTAACCCGGAATACCTACCTGTTTAAGGACTTATATAAGGAAATCATAACAAGGAACCCTAGAAAGGTAGGTTCTTCAGGGTTAAGGTAAAGCCTAAACAATAGACCGTGCTATGGGCTTGCAAGCGGAGGCTAGGGCCTACAATCTCGGGATGCGAGCCTTTAGCCCTACACCACGACTGAGCCGTGAGTGGTCTTCGAAGCAGCTCCTACCTTACACGGAGCCTTGGGGATTAGGATTTCTACTTGTAGGGGTTCAGGCTTAGGTGTTCAGTGGTTGGGGGTTCTAAGGTGTATTGGACCCCAAGCTCAAGCCGCATGTAGCAACGCAGCGGTAGTCCAACTTCAATCTTTTCAAGGCCCTTAAAACAGGGGCCTCAATAATTACATATACTAAAAATCCAGTATAATGCCTAAAACAGGGGCCTTAACAATTACCCCAAAACCCTGTCTAATGATTAAGGCCCCCATCCTGTACTAGATATCATGTTCCTATATTTGAGAGTTCAGGGTTCTCCATGTTTCTTGGTCTCGCGGGCTTTAGTCGTGGTTTAGGATTAGGGTTTAAGGATTAGGGTTTAGGGATTAGCGTTTAGGAGTTTAGGGATCTAGCTATCTCCATTGTCTGTGCTTCCTTGCCTTGGTTTAGCGATTTTTATGTTTAGGTACCCGAAAAGAGGAACAACAATGGAGCTTAGATGTAGGGTCCTTGTATTCCGGATCCTCTTATTCGGGCTCCCAAACCCATGTTTAGATGAAGCGCATGCTACTGTTTAGGGTTTAGGGGTTTCAGGGTTTAGCAAAATGTACAGTAAAGTCTTGGGGCGCCGTCTAGATGGTTTGAAACGGTGTCGCGGAGGATTATGTTGGTTGTGGGTAGGTGGAATTCAGCCCTGCACAGACGACACCACCCAATCTACTGTCGGCGAGGATCCAGGATGCTTTGTGATATAATATAGGTGCCGAAATAAGTACCAATACTATTTTGAGGGTTCCTCATTATAATGGTGAAAGATACCCCAAAACCCTACTCTAATTATTATTAAGGCGCCTATATTAGCTGATTTTGTTCAATCACAATGTGTGCGGTTCCTTTTTGTTCAAGGTTTGTGCCTCTGGACGGCTCGCTTAAACGATCGTGGGACGTGGTAACTAGGTAGGGTTATTACTAGGGTAACGATACTTGTAATTGCTTATAATTATATCCCCAATCCAGGTATTTATAACCGTCTGTGCTAAGCCCCATGAACCTCCAAGTAGAGTACCCTAAACCCTAAACCCCAAGGGTAGCACTGAGGAACGACATGGCCACCAGCGAGGGTATCGCCAAGACCTTCGAGTTCGCCTCACCTAGCAACCAGGTGTTTTCGGGATTGGGGGTTTAGGGGTTTGGGGTGTAGTGGTTTAGGTTGAGGGATACGGTTGTTTGCCTTAGATAGGGCCGTGAAGTAGTTCCTATGTAGGTACTTTGTAATTATGTCTGCATTATGAGGTGTAGACATCATAAGGTTTATGGATTTGTTGCATGTTGGGCTTTAGGGTTTCGAGGGTTTTGTAGTGTTGGTGGATTGTGGTTCAGGGCTGTTGCGTTCAGGGATGTAGGAAGTTTGGGGCTCATAGGATGTATGTTACCCCGCCTTTACGGCAGATTTTGAGTTGGGGGCTGCAAGAGCAGGAGCAAGAGCAGGACCAGAAGCAAAAGTAGGAGCAAATGCAGGAGCAGTTGCAGGAGCAGGAGCAAGAGCCGCAGCAGGAGGAAGATACTCCCTAAGGCGACAGTGGACATAACCCCCCCCCCCCCCCCCACCCTGACTGATAGCAAGCATACGCTTGGTTTTGGCCCCGCCCCCCTCAGTATTAGGAGGAAGGGACGAATACATAATTTTAGGGTCATGAACCCATGGATCTCGAAGCAACGCCATCACTTCGTGGCTGAGTACCAGAAACCGGCCATGACGAAGCGAAAGATTCGCTAGCAGGCCGTCTTGCAATAGGCCGAAGGCGTTCGCGTGTTCACAGCCAGAGTCATCGGCATCACCCCGCGGGCGCATCTGCGATAAAAAAGCCCCACCCAAAGGATCCATGTAGCGAATTAGTCTATACTTTGGCCCAAAGTACCAACATAGGAACTGCTTTAAGGCCTAAGTATATAATAGTATATTATATACTAGTTGGGTACACGGATGCTTTGGGCCATCATCTCCCAGGTTATCGGTCCAGTGATCGCTCCAGACTGGATCTCCATATCCTAGAGGCTCCCCATATACGACCTTTGAGGACGCCTGCGATCCTGCACTGCTGGCACTCAATGCCAACCTCCTTCGACGAAGAGTTGATCCACAAATTTGAGCTCCGGATTTTGTGTGACGGGACCTGCTGCTCGGAGGAAGCAGCCATGGCATGCTTGCACATGGAGATCTCGTATGTCGGTTTGTGGGACCGAAGATCATAGGAATACCGGAGTCCCCATACACCCGAAAACCCTCAACCCTATAACACTCAACACCTGGACCTATAATCCTTAAAGCCCAAACCCTCGGCCCTGAAAGGCTTGTATGAGACCTGGAAGCCCTGCACCCTGAAGCCTTAAACCTGAAAACCCCGCAGTCTTTGGTTGTGGCTTTAGGGCTTAGGGAGACATGCTCCTGAAATTTTGGGTTTGATGGGAAATCTACTGAGATTTCATTATTTGCTTCTGTTCATGTACGCTTATGCTATACATAAATATTGATACATAATTACACATTCTTGTAGATCTGTATATATATATATATATAATATCTGTGCGCACAGTTATACATACACATGCCTTTGTATGCAAGCAGAACATGTGCATAAGTAGATGCGGAACGAATGAACAACAGACAAAAAGACAGCAACATACTTGTGTTCACCCTCTCTCTCTGTCTCTCTCCCTCTCTCTCTGCGACCACGAACTACATGCACTTTCTCCGCGACTACGACCCGACCCATCTCCATTTCACTCGCCCCCCCCCTTCCCCTCACAACCCATCCTAACCCCCCACCCGCCCTGCCCCCTCTTGGCGTGCTAGGCCGCCACCGGGCCTGTGGAGCGCTTTGCCGAGATGATCTACCTCGGCTACCCCATCCTTCTGCTCCTGGCCTTTTTTGGAGTGTAGGGTTTACGGAGTTTGGGGTTTAGGGTGTGAAATAGGGTGTGAGGTTTTTAGGTTCTATAAATGTTCCTTTAACTATAGGGTTTGGGGTTTAGGGTACACAGCTTGTTGTTGCTGTTCTTGGCTGTGCTTAGTGCTGGCCATTCGTTATGTTTGTTCGTCGATGTGTTCGTTGGCTAGGGTTGCGGAATTTGGGGTTGTTTAATAAATCCTTCCTTTCCTTGTTGTGTTCTAGAGGGTTGTCCTTGTCTTTCGAGGAAACCGACAGCTAGAGCACTTTAAGTCCAGATCAAACGCCTCAGGCCCGACAAGCCCCCGCACCTCTCCTTATCGTCATTGTATAGAAGTCTGAACCCTAGAAACTCCTTAGGAATCGAGAGAATCCTGTAAACGAAACTATGCAAGTGAAGGACCAGCTTGAAGACAGGATCCTTGAAAACACCGAAAACCACAGCCTAAACCCTCAACACCGAAGCTGCCAGTCACAGAAGGTCAATGGAACCCTAGTATAGAAGCCAAAATCGCCACCAATACTACGCATTTCTTAGGGTTTGATATACCCCAGAACCCTATTCCAATTGTTAAGCCCCTCCTTTTTGACAAATTATTCTAAACAACCGAACTCTCTACAGTTCAAGGAACTCAAAGCATCCCTTAGCGGAGCCCCTTGGCGCCTTAGGCCCTGATTTCTGCAGATTCTAGACAAGCACTGCGCGCTTACCCCCAAAACCCCTAAACCCTAAACCCCTAAACCCCTGCAGCCCCTACAGCCCCTACAGCCCCTAAACCCTAAACCCTAAACCCTACAACACCTGAACCTCGAGCCCCTTTGGAAGTCCGAGGAACTCAAAGCAGTTCACTCTCCTATCAGCCCTTAAGCTGGCCGAGAACGAGTATGCAATCCGAGTCGAGGTGGAAGGCAGGGCATGTCTTATTTCGGGTGTTTAGGGTTCCTTTACTTAGATAGTGAACGGGGGAACTTTAAACTTTTTGGCCTTATATATTGGCTCTATCATAGAAAGTTTGAACTTTTTGGGGCCTGGTTGTTGAAGAAGAGAGTTTAAAGAGGTCCTTTAAAGGGATCTATGGAGTTTAGGGGTTTAGGGGGCTTGAGTTTGAGGGGTAGGGCTTCAGGGTGTGGGGCACAGGGTTTCAGGTTTGGGTTTAGGGTGCAGGGTTTCTTTCAGGGGTCCATGTAAGGGCCCTAGAAGGGTCCGAACACCCAACATGACGGCCCCTTCTGCACCGCAGTACCTTTGCCTAAGTATACCCCAACCCCGAAGAACATATTTTTTGAAGGACTTATATAAGGAAACTATATTAAGGAACTCTAAAAAAGATAGGTTCCTTAGGGTCCAGGAATACTCATGGAATACTTGGACACTTTGGGGTAATGCTCCTCAAAACTAGGGCTTGGCAATGAGGCCGGGTTCGTGGGGGTTGGTTTCCTTCGTTGCTTTGGACGTTTGCTCCCTCGAGGCATGTCGAGCTGGAGCTTTGAGATTCCTAGAGCTACTTCAAAAGTTAGATTCCTGAATCCCCATAAGCCCGAAAAGCCAACTCCTACACTTACACCCTAAGCCCTATGAATGTCTATTATAAACCTTATTCCCTGAACCCTACACCCTAAGCTTACAAATGCAAAACCCGGGTCCCCGAGGCACCTGGGCCGGAAAGCAGATCTTCGTCTGGCTACTGAGTAACTCGACAGGGTCATCCTGGCCCTTTCGGGCAAGGTAACGTCATAGGGACCCCTCAGGGGGGGAAAGGGTGAGGGGGGTAGGGGACTATGCTTCCTAAAGTAGGCCTTACTAGGTCCTTATTATGGACACTAAGTTGCTCAAGCCCTACCCCAAGGGTCCAATAATCATATATTCTCCAGGATCTTAGCCTACATAACTACTATCCTATAACCGAGTACCTAATGGTAGATAAAGGGGGTTTAGTGTATAGGCGGGGAAAGTCCTAACGTTTTTTTGGGGAGAAGTACACAGTCATGATGATGATCCTGTGGGCTTTTGGCATGTATAAGTATCCTGACGAGAAGGAGACTGACCCTAAACCTTACGGGTACTTAGAAAAAATTTAATCTTTGGTTATTATAATCCCTAGGAAACAGCTAAAATTATAATTTTTGCTAGGGCTCTAAGTTCAGTATAGAAACGACAAACGCCTGCGAACCCAGGAAGCCTAAATGATGAGAGATGTTGCTTCCAGCGGGATGATGACATTGGGGTGTAACAAGTTGAGTTTGGGGCACAGCTGCTTGATCCGAAGCTCTCTAAACCCATCAATCCGGAAATCCTAAGTTCCACAGCTGGGTGGTTGTCAAGATTGGGGTCCCTTTTGGGGTACCCTAAATATTAGGTGCCGTACGATAATAAGGACCCAAAATGGGACAACCCAGCTATCTCAAGAAAGCAGGTCATGCTCTGGACTCTCCACCCTATACACCCCTTGTGGCACATTCCCTCTGCAACTTCCAAAGCAAGCAAAAGCCCGAATATGTGGCTCTGAACAAGTGGTAATCGATATGATTCTCTCTGAGCCCTTTTTTATAAACACAGTATACAGTAATTGCACCAAAGACCCTATTCTTTTGTTTCAGGTCCCTATACCCTGACCACAGCCGTCAACTTGCAGTCACATGCGGTCCGTTCCAATGAAATTGGGCTTAGTCGGACACGTATATACTATACTGCAGTACATATCGTACTAGGGACTATGGACTATGGACCCTATAGATACTGTCGCACATACTATGGACCCTATGGTTGAACCATGAAAGCACTGCCCAAGGACCAAAGCCCAACATGCTTCTACGCTCCAGGTGTGGAGTGCTACACTCCCCTACACGCTGGGACCCGAAGCCCTGAGTCCTAATCCCAAAAGCCAAAACTCGGAGTCCTAAACTCAGAGGAGGCCAAAAGGGGTTTTAGCGCATGGGGGTTTAGTAGGGATTAGGGTTCCCATATTAGGGTTCATATAAAGGAATCCCTACCCCAAAAATCTTAAACCCCCCTTTTGGCCTCCCATCATAAACCCTAAACCCCAGAGTCCTACTCCCAAAAGCCTGAACCTGGAGTCGTCCTCATCCCAAAAGCCTCAAAATGTGAACCTTACAATCGCGCCAAGGTAACACAGGCGATGGAACTGGATGGAGAACGAACTCGGTGATGCCAGATGAGCGCCCAGATGGTGCGGAGTGATCAAGTTGGTATATTGGGGGGCTTAAATATCAAAAAAACTAATTACCAGTTGGGGGTCCTGATTATAAGTATGGTATTATAAGGCCCCTATGCTCGACGCCTTCCAAGGTTGATAGTATCTAAAGGGTTTAGGACTGAACAATTCGTTATCAAAGTTCGATCCGGGAGTTCCTGCCAGAGCATCTCACAAGTGGATGCAGACAAAAACCTAAAGGCGACGGGAACGCATCGTTTCTGACGAAAAGGCACAGAGGTGTTCGTGCTAGTGTTTGTATTCAGATCGTGATGAGTGAACCCAGTACCCAGAGAGCCCAATACCCGTTAGTTAAGGAACATAGCTTAAATCATAATGTGAAGCCCTATATAGTTTAAGCCATATTCCTTAATTAAGGGGTATTGGGCTCTCTGGGTAACCCATTATTGATGTAACGGGAGCCCTAGACCCAATGCCCTAAACCCTGTGGAGCCCCACCCTAATGCTCGCGGACCCTCGTAGTGAGATCCTAAACCTTAGCCCCCAAAGCCCAAACCCTCGCCCACAAAGCCCCCAAGCCTATTAGGAGCCTTAGGGCAGGGGACAGGTGTTTTTTCAGATCAGGGTTCCTAGCCTAGAGTTCGATTGTTGCCTTGTTTGTGTTCAGCTCTTGCGGGGTCTAGGGCTCACAAGGAATCCCAGACTGGCTAATTAGAAGAGGGTTTTGGGGGTTCCTTATTAAAAGGATAGTATAACGTACCCGCAAACCCTCTTCTGATTACTAAGGCCCTTATACCAATTAACCCAAAACCCAAAACCCCAAACCCTGAATCCTAACCAAGACCTGTAACCGTCCGAAAAGGAGGGCAGCAGGTGTTTGGGCTCAAAGCCCGGGCAGAGCCATGTATCTCAAGGGTAGTAACCCAGAGGTTCCACATACATTACAATTATGGAATGAGTTTCTCCAAAACCATAATGGGGATGGTCGCTTATAGGGCCTAATTCCATAATAGTAGTGTATATGGACCCTCGGGGTATCCTACTAACCTACTATTTAGGAAACCGGAGTTTTAGGGCTAGGCTAGCAGCCCTGATTGAAGGGTTCAGGGTTGAGGACTCAGAGCCTGTTGGTGTACCCTACACCACAAAAACCCAAATCTGCTTCAAAAATGTTGATGTATGCACTGAACCCCACACCCGCATAGAACTCCGTAGGAGGATACTCGCTGCTCGCGCCCCATCATAGCCATCCATCTCTACTGCCGAAGAGCGCTTTGAGTTTCAAGCAAATGCCCACGCGTGTTTCCCCACTCTGTGTTCTTGCGCCATGTCAACGCAAGCCCCTAACGAACCCCATAAACACCTAAACTGGGTTCCTGATAAGCAAGTTCTTTGAATAGTTATTGTAATAGGGATCCAATGATCGAAACTAGTATGGCTTCTTGGCTATGGTAACAAAAAACTTCAGATTTTTCTCCAGCCTGTGACACTCCAAACCTTCGTGATTGCCAGGGGTCCGCGGCCCTCAAAGAAGCGCAAGCGGGAGGCGCATCTGGGACGACCTTGAACTTAAAGGATCATGGGACTTGGTAACTAGGGTTATTATGGGGGTAACTATACTGATAATTTCTTATAACCCCACTTAAGGGACTTATAACCATACTAAGTCCCATGATCCTCCAAGAAACCCTGAGCTACCCCCACAAGGGTGGCAGAACGGACGCCTTAAGGATCCTCTTAAAGGGACAGCTTATAAGTGCTCCTGAAAAAGATGCCCTGAGATACCCGTTGAAGGGTTTACATAAGACCAGGGTTCGTAGAGAACAAGAATGCCAAGGCCTAGAATACTTAAAGGATCATGGGACTTACTGTAGTAACTATTGGGATAACTATACTTATAATTACTTATAACCCCAATTAAGGTACTTATAACCATACTTACTAAGCCCCATGATCCTCCAGGTACCTATACCTGGAGGCTTGGTAAGACCCTGAAGCCTAAACCCTAAACCCCAACCTATACCTTTCAAGTACTAAACCCTAAACCCCAAAGACCCTACATCGACGCCAGGCGCCCGCCGAGGATTCGACAGCCATCTCTCCCGCAGCAGTTCTTCAGGCGCGGGAATGTTCATACAGTTCGGGTCTATAGGGTTTGAAGGTTTAGGGTTCCGAGCTTGAGGCTGTTACTTAAAGGGTCATGGAGACTTAGTAACTTAGGGCTGTTATTTGGGTAACTATACTTATAATGCCTTTAAACCCAAACTTGTAACCATACTTACTAAGTCCCATGATCCTCCAAGTAGGTTTATCAATAGTTAGGGCTCAGGGGTTTAAGGAGGCTCAAGTTTTTACACGGCGCCGGGACTTCTAGGGCGAAAGTCGCCCAAGCCCTTTAGCCTCTAAACTCTGCCTGAAACTCCAATCCAAATCGCGCAAGCCCTATACCTTAGAGAGCATAGTATCGACCTAGACGAACAAAACCACCACCCCTAAACATAAACCCTTAACCCTAAACGGGTTTTTATGGAGCACCAGCAGACCCCATGATGCCACCAGAGACCGCGAGGAGACAAGTAGGAGACCGCGGAGCATGATGTCATAAGTTGCTTTATTACTCGGAGGGGCAGGGGACTTAATAAGTAGGGTTATAAGTAGGGTCATAATTGGGGTAACTCCGTTTAGGGTACTTATAACTCCACTTATAACTTATAACCATACTTACCAAGTATCCTGCCCCTCCAAGTATGCGACATTTTATGTTATTGCTTTTCGCGCGCTTGTAGTACAGGCCCTGACAGAAACCCTGAAAGAAACCCTTGTAGTACGAACCCTTATAGCAAACTTTACAGGATAATCTGAAAAAGGACCCCTTTGAATCCCTTCTAGACGGTCGTGACAGATTCCTTAAAGGTATTCTTAAGAGGATCCCTGGAAACCTTTCAAAAAAACCTTCTGCTTTCCTCTACAGGAATTCTTAGAGCGACCCTTTACCCCTTCTGCGAAGCTTTATACTAACCCTTTAAAGAAGTCGTAAACGGAATCTTCGAAGCCGTTCTAAGAACCCTTTAAGTGTAACCTGAAATTCTTGAACAGACGCCTCGAACGCCTTCTCTTACCTTTGGTTAGTAGGGAATGGAAGAATGGTAGTAATAGTAGTTATAATTCTACTCCATTCCTCCATTCCCTACTAACCAAAGGTAAGTTCTAGGAACCCTTGTACTACCATTGAAAGGACCTTCTTTTAACGGACCATTCGAGACCGATCTTAGAATCCTTATAGAACCCGTAAAGAAATTCTTTACAGGACGCCTTGAAGCCCTTCTAGGAACCCTTAGAGTAGCCCGTAAAGAAAATGTTAGAAGGACCCTTTGAAACCCTTATAGTAACCCTGAAAGGAATTCTGAACCGGACCGCTTGTGACCCTTCTAATCACCCTTATCCCTCCCTTCACGACGACCATCGGACTTCGCCCGGCAAGGCCCTCCAAGCTCTGAGCGGCGAGGAGATTGGAGAGCAGCGCAGTTTGGGTTTTACAGGGCTTTTCCAGTTAAGGGTGTAGGGTTTAGGGTTGATGGCTCGATTCCTTACAGTATTACAGAGTTCTCTCAGCGGTTTCTTTCAGGGTGTTGGCAAGGGGACAACATGAAGTTTGACTGGATGTTTTCTGTATGCGCAACATAGGGTTGAGGCTTCTTTGCAAAGGTTCTACAACGGGTTTAGGTGTTTCGGGTTTAGGGTGTACGATGGCAGGAGAAGGGTTAAATCAAGGCTTCGGCTTTGGGTTTTGATGGTCGATACAACTCTCCTGCAATTATGGAGGGAGGTCTGCTCTTCGTTTCATTACACGTAGAGCAGCATAGCTCCACAGGCTTCTGGACTCGTTTACTTGGTAGGTGAGCATACGCGACCTCCAATCTTCCAGAGGATTACACCACCCTGTCGCAATTGTACGGGCAATCTGCACGCTAAGGCTCCGAAAAGGCTTAGGGGCTTTGTGGGCGAGGGTTTGGGCTTTGGGGGCTAAGGTTTAGGATCTCACTACGAGGGTCCACGAGCATCAGGGCAGTCCTCCTTGTTGCAATATCTGCACTCTCTTGATATGTAGATACGAAGTCAGCGGCCTTTTGCCTACACTTCTCCCCCAACAAGCAGGCTCCCCCAACCCTCAACCCCTAAACCCTAAACCCCCAACCCTAAACCCTAAACCCCCAACCCTCAACCCTAAACCCAGGGTTCAGGACTTTTGGTCCTGCGCAAGCTGCTCTGCTGCTCCGCAGGAGGTACCAGCAGCTCTGGGTTCGACATCGCTGCAGGAGTGCATCTTGACTACTTGGAGGATCATGGGACTTAGTAAGTAGGGTTTAGGGTTCCCTTTTAAAGGGTACTATAGGGTTCTATAAAAGGGTTCCTTACAGGGATCTAGAAGGGTTCTATAATGGAGGATCATGGGACTTAGTAAGCATGGTTAGAAGTACCTTAATTGGGGTTATAAGTAGTTATAAGTATAGTTACTCCAGTAAGAACCTTAGTTACTAAGTCCCATGATCCTTTAAGTGATGCAGCCCTTATGTGGGTGGTTTTCAAGATTAGGGTCCCTGCTTAGGTCCTTATTATAATACGGCACCTAATATTTACCCACAAAGGAACCTCAGTTTTGACAGCCACCCATCTGGGTTCAGGGTTTTGGGGGTTTAGGGTTCAGGGGTTGAGGTTTAGGCTTACTTGGGGTTTACGCAGTAGTTGTTTAGGAGTTTAGGAGCAATCTTGTGGTTCTGAAGCCCCATCCCCCTATTCTCCCCTAAGGCTCTTTGGTTTCTGGTCCAAGGGCACAGAAGGCATAAAATCGAAGCCTAAAGTGTGGGATGTTGTTCTCTTATAGTCCCTGCCCTAATGCTCCTGGACCCTGGTAGTGAGATCCCAACCCTTAGCCCCCAAAGCCCAAACCCCCAGAGATCTCATGACCCTCTTAGGAGCCTAAGGTAGTATAGTTATTGTATAATATACCCCCCAAGCCCTGTTCCAA